CAGATCGTTGTCGGATCGATTTTTAGTATCCCACAAATTACAGATACTGTATAGGAACCGCTGGTCGACCTAGGCAGCCTAAAGTGGCAGGTGTTCTTTCCAGAAGCGGTGGACACCACTGAGCAATTCTATGGAGCAAGACTCGATAGCGCTGGCGGCTGATGCAAAATTTCAGTTGAGTTTCCTACAAATAATCCTTGCAGGTTGTTGGTACATAAAGTTTAACTTCTACGTGTAGTGACGTGTTAAGAAGCCTCCAGAATGGTGATCCTTCATTAGTTGTTTTAACCATTTCAGCCTCAAGCGGCGTTTCCATTTTTACTTAGCATATTCAATCCAAGATGTCGCCTTGCAGACGCCACCGTCATATATGAACGATACAGAGAAACTGTATCCATTGTATCGTTGTTGTGAATACAAATTTCCCGTTAAATAGCATTCTCTCAGATGATCATGCTAATGCCCGCCTAAATATTCTATTTGCCCGCTGTATAGAAATCCGCGGCATTCACCTTATAAAAACTGAATTTGTATTCGCCCCACATGTCTGATTAGTCCCCGCACGCTTATACCGACACAGACGCCCACAGACGCAGACACATGCGCAGGGACACTCAATTATAGCTGACTCCTCCCCCCGTTCCTTCCTCCATGGCCTGTCAGCAAAGGATGCAAATTTTCCAGTTCGTTCATCATCACCTTCAACATCACTCGTCGTTAATGTCCACGTCTCACTTGTGCAAGTAAATCTACACGGATCTAAATAAGTATCTATCCTTCTGTATCTGTCTGTCTTCACGAATAATGTTATAAACAGCTCGTGTAGTTTGTTGCAGACATTGTGACAGGCTCAGTGTCGTTCGCTGCCCGGTTTCGATACTTAAACGAGCGAATTCGCTCAATCGATCGTCATACGTTGCCGTTGACTATGTGAAGACGGCGGTAAACTTTTCAAATTCAAACGGTTCCCTCCAGTCAACAAATTGGTGAGCCAACGAACGCTTTACCTTCCCACCGAGCTACGTCTGGTGCTATTAAGCGGATAAAAAAGAAAAAAACTACTTGTCAGTTGGAATCCGATCAAAGTGTGTGCATATAGAGATGTATTAAGAAATTTCCACTCCGCCTAAGGGTGTAACTGTGCAGTCTCGTCTGTTGCGTGGATACTCCTCTTTCCAAACTATAACTATGATTGGAAGTCCATTGTTGATGCAAGCGTCGTCTCTGTTCGCCGTTGCTGCTGGCTAATTGACATTGAGTCGTCGCCGGCGGAGTGGCAGGCTGGCAGGCAGGCAGGCAGGCAGACGAGCGATCGCTATAGAAGAATTCAATTTCAATTGTCATCGAAATGTTATTGTTTCGTTGCTGGCCAGATCGCCGTCTACTCGCGCTGTCGCCCCCGTTTGCCGCCCAGCTTATAGCAGCAGTGAATAAGGCATCTCCACTTACACGCTTGCGAGCTCATCTTCCCAGTCGCTTTACCTTCTTGTTCTTTTGTGTTTCCACTGCTACTTTCGTTGGTTTGTTGATCTCTTTTCGCAGTTTCACTCTTATTGGATGCAGCCTCTGCCCCTGCTTGCATTGTGAAGGGGCTTCACCGTGGATGCCCCGGCCCTAGTTCGCCACAGTCGCGATTCTGTTCGTCGAAGCGTCGTCTGCTTTCTCGCATGCTCACTCGTTTACTTGGGAAGTACTCAAAGGGCGTGTCTCGCAGTGAATTTTTACCTCTTGAAACGGCAGGCGATATAGAGACGCAAGAACAGAGTCGAAGATAATAGTCTTCGTAAAAAGACAATCTTCACTCTCTTTTTTCCAGGTCTTCGTCTTTAGCCATCATTTCTAGTCGTCCACCCGTCTATTCCGATTCGTCCCTTTCGCCTGCTTGTCGATGCGTCTGTATCTCGTGTGCAGCAGAGGGATTGAGCACGAGAACTGCCCCTCTCCCTATTGCTGCTGCTGCTGCTTTTCGCTGGGGCGAGCGGCCCAGTGGAAGCGCGTCAGCGTTACTTTGCTTTCTATGCAACGCGGAGCTACGCGTACAAACAGCGGCTACGAAACAAATCAAGTGGCTGTTCTGTTCGATTTCCAAACAATTCTCCATCTGAATAACATCCCTTCGCGCTTCTTGTCTTCCTAACTTTGTCGTCACTCTTTGCCCGGCGACAACGGAAAAGACACAAAGGCCAGAATAGGCAAAAGAAAGCAGAAGGGGCAGCGACTTCGGTAGAGGTCCCCCGCAAGGAAACCACTCGTTCGTTGTCAAGGGAACATGAGGGAGAAAACGCCACAAGCCGAACCCGATTGAGTCTCTGGCTCGCCGCCGCTTGCCATAGGACAAAAAAAAGAAACTTCGATTCGCCTTTGTCTCCGCTCTATCCAGTTCGGTGGTAATATGTACTGCCACAGCCAAGTCGCTACGGTCGAAATCGTCAGCTGTTTTTGCCGTTTCTCATAGCGATGATGCTGACGGCTATGCTTTTCGAGACATCGCTGATGCTGTGCTTGGCGGTGGTGGAAGAGGCGCAGCTGGAATAAGAGGCGAAAACGAATGTTCATCGTTATAGCCAATGAGTGGGCCGGACGACGACAAGTGCCGGTCCAGTCGTCCTAGTCCGAGTTCATTCTAACGAGGAGAAAAAACGAAAACAAAAACAGCGTAACTACCGTTCGCTTTCGCGCACGATTACCACAATCGATCAGGCGGGCCGACTTCTCGACAGTGCGTGGATAGTATACTTACTAGCTTTTCTAGCCTCGCTCTTGATTTTATCTGTTTCACCTTTTTTCTATTTTGTAGTTGTGCAGTTTACTCTGCTTGGTCTCTGATAGGCCAATAGGCTTGTTCGAACTAGCTTCGCTGCTCGAGGCAAGGCAAGGCGAGCTGAGCGCGGCAACACCACACATTAGTACGTTGGAATTTTTGCCCGAAGCAATCGAGGTTGTTCAAGCTGCTAATTATGATGATACCGTCGCTGTGACGGACTCTTGTAAGATGCAGATGGCTCGCTCCATCCATCTAGCAAGAGCGGTGCGGCACTAAGTGGACAGCGGCTGAGCAGAATTTGTCCTTCTGCCCGCCAAAAAGGGAGCAGCTCCTTCGCTCTAGCAGAGAGTGGATATGCAAAGGCCCTCGATACGTTTTTAATCGGTTGTCCTTGGTTCTGGTTTCACCGGACGATCATCATCTACAGACCAGCGCATTTCCACTCACTCGCTGATAACGACGAAGATGTTCGCTGGCCATGCAAATACACACTTCCTGCGTTACGGAACAACGTGTTCCTCCTAAGACAAGGGGCAAATCTACGAATCGGCAAAGGTAAGAGGCGGCGTCTAGAACACGACCACCCGATAAGTATAATGGACCGATCGCAGGAACAATTCCTCGTCTGATGGTAGTGAGGCAGTTAGTAGCAAATACTGCTACATTATCAACTGTGATAGAATTGAAGACAAACGCCCTCACCATCATCGAACCAGGTAACATTGAAGGGAACAATCTCTGTAACAGAACACCATCGGGCAGCATCTGCCAAAGAGGTTGCTGCAGGGGTTTAGAGGAACAGATAACGCTACATTCCTGGGAGTTATAAGCAGCAGCGGCAGCATCATGGAAATCGTAACCATCTGGCTCAGTTGCAGCCTAAGGCAACAGCAGCTGCGGCTACAGCTGAAGGGGCTTCTTAACAGGACAACTTGGCCAGAAACTAGATCGTCGGAAGACAGTGGCCAACAATAGCTTTCTGTAGCAGTTACTATTTATATACACTACAGACGATTGTCTCCGTAGGCTGCTTCTGTGTCTGCCGCTACTCTATTCAAGCGTCTTCACTTGTACTTTTATCGTACTCTTCCGTTTCCCCCTTCGCCCATCGATTTATGCGGTCAAAAATATAATGATACTGATGATGATTGTAAGATAAGATCGTTGTCATGAGAACGACACGTTGACATGAACTAAACCGGTGCCGCTGACCTATTCCGTTAAAGTGTCCACTGAGCCTATCCATATATATATATATATATATGTGTATATTTATATTGTTATTGTCATAAGTTGGTTCAATAGAGAAGGTGGCTATAATAAAGAGTTAAAGTATCCACTGCGAGGATAGTTTTGTAAATTTAGTTCTTCATAGCCATAGCTTTTCATTGATCTTGATCCAAATCAGACTTATTTCACGGGTGATACCTCTGTCACAATACGACGTCTCATCTCGGCCATTGAGCTACGCATATTCACACCATTGTGCTAATGCATTCGGGAGCTCCAGAGGAGTCCAGCTATCAATAGAAGATTTAGCCAAATAGGAAAATTCGAAATGGCGAACTTTCTTTTTGATCGACGTTCCTAGTAGGACATCCCTGAATAAAAATACAATGCAAAATGATGTGTTTTTCAGTATGTGCGTTTTTAGCTAGTGAGTTCAGAATTTTGAATAAGAACACGCAACAAAAATAGGGTGATAGATGAGATATGTCTATTAGACGTTCCAGCAATGATACGCACACGGCCTAAAATGCACCTATTATTATAGATATGTACAAGTTATTCTAACTCTATAGCCTATAGCTGTTATTCAGTATAAGCTAGGCATAACGGTTATAAATTTACCGCATAAATTTACCGCATAATTTCTGTAGTCATAATTTTGCGGGGCATAAAACCAGCCTTTGCTTCTTTTTCTGATAAGAAAAGTTGTCTATTGCCATCATCAGCGACGCATCTGAGATACAGTATGTACAAAAGCTCTCCAGTATATTACGCAGTACGCAAACGCTCAACACTACTACTACTACTACTACTACTACTACTACTACTACTACGCACTGCTCCAGCAACAGCTCCGTTGAGCCGTCGCCGTCAAGCAATAATAACCGATGCCGCCACGGTCCGCCTGTGTCCCTGAACCTGACCCAGGCCGTGGTCAGAGTCGTCGAGCCCCGGCCCAACTTCAGCCTTCCAACACTCCGTCGAAATGCTAAGCTTTTATCCTCACCTTCTACACGTCCGCAAGTCCTTTCACTCTTCCGGCGACTTTGTCCGTAAAGCCGCAGCTGACAGCAGCTAGATCCCAGTAAACGGAATCGTAGTAGAAAATAATGGAGGCTTGAATCAGTGACGCCGACTGCTCGTTTGCCCGGCAGACACAAAAAAAAAGCCGGTTCACAGACACGCACACGCGTCTATACACAGCATATCTCTGGAATAGAAAGAAAGGGTAGAAGTCGTTCTAGAAGAAGACGAAAATGTCGCTGAATCAACTCCGGCTGACCGCACGCCGCGAGACAAGCCCAGAGAAATCCATAGTATACTATGGATTTCTCTATATATGTATGAAGTAAAAAGCGAACTCTGCTACGGAAACCACGAAGTTGTGGGTTCGGTGCTATAAGTGAAAAGCATCAACCAACCGTTCTTGCCAAATTAGATTATTGGAAACAGATGGTAATACAGAATGGCGCGCTATCGACAATGGAAACCGTAGTTTCTGCAGTTTTTCGTGGCCAAACCTATTTCCAGTCGGCTGTAATGATCTAGCTATGCATATTACCAATATTTATCCTCGGCATCGTGGTTCCTATCCGTCTCAGTAACAGAGACAAAGGTAGCAGCCACAGAAAGGTTCAATGGCGCAGGGTGCCCTCACAGGGACCACACTGACCGAACTGACTAATAATATTTACAGCTAAATATATTCCGATACGTTTCTGGTTTGATAGTTCCGATGGGTGAGACGGCGACGAAAATAATGACAACAATGCCGTTGCGTTTGCACATATATATACTTTCTTACTTGTAAAAGAACATGAGCGACATACTCAATGACACACTACAGCTGTTGCCAAATATTTTGTATAATCAATACATTGTAACAACGTCCTCAGTTGTCCGACGCGCTTTTCTTGGCCGGATATAGTGAAGCCACCCATCGGTAATAGGCAACAGCAAGGCTCGTCAGGAACAACGACCAGGCTATCACGTTCTATTGTCGTATTGTGCGTGCGGTAGTGGCCGGATTTGTATACATATATTTATTTACGACAAATCTGCCACTGCGTTTCGCTGTGTGTTACGCTAGTGCTGCTTTAGTACAGGCACCAGGCCGAGGCGCTCGAAGGCGGACTAGTCGATGGAGTAACGTGCCGCGAACACGTTCGATAGCCATTTTCTCGGTGCCGCTCACGATCCAGTGTCGCCATCCATCGTACGGCCCGCGATGTCATGCATTTTAAAATTGTCTCGTTGAAATTCTGAAAGAATACAGAATTTTCATGTAGGATATGAGTCCGAAATCTTGATGGTGTGATATTAGAACAAAGATGGTGACGATAAAAAAAAAATGCCACATGCTAGCGCTTAAACAATGTTTAGGCAATAAGTTTGCCTCGCGTCTGCTAGCAACAGCTGGAAATACCTATTATCACTAATCGCGCTTTGGCATGAACGCGCAGTACATACGTAGCCGCATAAGCTTTGCAGTGAAAATAAAGAAAAACGCATGATTATCTATTTTCCATAGTTGTCAAGGTCAAATACCGTGTAAACGATAGGGATGATGGCGTCGGTGACATTAAAGTGGCACATCCGAAGGGGCCGGTATAAGTGGAACTAAAACTTTGCGACAGGTAAGGTTAGATTGAAACTGTTGGGTGTTGCCTGTGCTAGGGGATATTCGTTTAGAGGGCTATGCATATGTGTGAATCAACTGCGACTGACTATATCAAGTGGTGTACTTTTTTTACTCGTTAAGTAATTCTCCTTGACTTGCGTAGGATAAGGCCAATGTGTATTTTTGTCGAAAGGTACAATGATGCCATTGGTTTTCGTTAGTGGTAATGAGGTTAAGATTGAATAGCCGACGGATTAACTGGACCAGTTTATGGTTCGCTCCACAGCGTAAAAAAGCACTCTCGTGTTATTTTGCTATTTTCAAGTATTACCTGAATCAGCAAGCTGTGAAAAGTTTCTAAAAACGTAGCATACACATAGTATTATGTAGTCACTGTTTTCAAAGTCCTACCGAACGCTGGACTATGCCATTTTTCCCTAAACAGTATATACATTCAGCAAATGCGCCCTTATCAGCGTCATTACTCTGAGCTTTGAGTCTTGCGCGGCTGACTAGTGAGGCTTACCAGATCCTTGGAAGCATCATCGCCCACCTTTACGTAACTTTGTGTTTTCCGCCAGTTCTTCTTTGCATCATCGTCTTCTTCTGAAGATGACGAAAAAAAGATCACTCACGATATCCTATCTCATACGCTTCGACGTCTCATCACACCGCATCATATTTGATGCTGCTGTTGCTGATGGCGCGCATCGGTACTCTTAGTTATTTGATATAATATATGTACATATGTTACGATTGGCTTCTTGGCTTGGTCTGACTTGAGCCTGGAGATGTCGTGGCTACCGGCGTTATTACGTATCTCGTTTTTTTGTTGTCTTCACCGTCGTGAAACTTTTGTTCCGTAGGCCTTTCGCCGTGGTACTGGAAACAACAACAACAACTGCTGCTGCTGCTGCTGCTGTTGCAGCTGTTGCACAAGAGAGTAGTATCGTGAGAGCGCCTGCCAGGAGCGTCGGCAACAGCGGCAGCAACGTTTTCCGCTGTGCGTGGGACTTTTTTAGAGGCCGGGAGCAGCAGCTGCCGCGGCGGCCGCCGCAGGAAAGCCAGCGCCATCAGTAGCAGCAGTTCCACAACGGAACGGGACGAAAAGAGCGAGACGGGTATGGGCACTGCGCGCATTGGCCTTTGTGTTGGGCCCATCCGGTCGATCTGAGTCGATGCGGTTAGGCTTCTCCACTCCTTTTGCTTCCCGATCCACTTCAGCGGCAGCAGAAGAAGCCAGGATATCAAGAACGCCGCCAACAATAACAACGATAGCGCAAGCGGCAAGAACATATCGACGCTGGCCAGTCATCGTCATCGTGTCCGTTCTCCTTCTCCACGCTTTCTTCTTTCCTTCGGAGTCAACCGTCAGGTCAACCGGCAGGTTCAACTCCGTGGCATAGCAGCGGCACCGGCAACAGTAGCAACACCCCGTTTGTTGGCTGTCTGCCTGGCTGGCCGGTCGGCTGCTCCCAGTTCGTCTCGAATGCTACCGCTGCAACAACTACCCATTTGAGAAGTGCAATTGCAGACCGCCCTTCACTCTAGCCCTTCCAGCAATCAGCCGCACGAACGTCGCTAGCACGGTACGACACTATGCGGCAACCGCTACCTGTTCTTGCTTCCAGCCCGTCACGGAGGCTGGCCATTCTGAAGCTTATTCCAGCCCGGACATCTCATAGTCTATTCCAGCGCACTTTGGCTCTCTGCTACTCGAGACGACGCTACGGATAATGTTGACATGTGTTGCGATTCCACACAGACACACAAGATGGATAGAAACACAAATGCGCACGCAGAGCGCAGAACCAAAACGACTTTTCTGAGCCGTTTGTGTTCTGAAATTTCTTTCCGATCGTGCTCGTCCGCTCGTCCCAGTCGAGCCAGAAATCGTCTGCGATACAAAGGACACATAACAAAAATGCTGCTGTTATTCTCGCTGCTTCTGCTGCCTGGATCACTGTCGCGTCATTTCGATTTACAGCGTCGCTGTTGCATTTGATTGCGTGCGAGCTCAGCTCGTACGGCGTCAACATACGCGCTGAAAAGCAGGAATCCCACGAAGTCAATCGCCAGTAATCGTAGCTGAAGGCTACGACCGTTTTATCATACCACCTGTTGTCCACTGATCCAGTTACTAGTAGGTCTGAATTGCCCAGCCTGTTCGGACGTTTGTAGTCACTAGTATTGCGACTGTTGCAGTTTCGTTATTAGTTCTATTAGTTCTGGAAGTTGGAGCTGAGAGCATCCGGTGCCGTTCGAAGTGACGCAGATAAATGCCCCTTTGTCTAGCTGCGTGTCCGCCCCTTCCGTCGCTTCTCACTGCGCTCAACTTGATCATCTTTCCGACACTCGGCCAACGTAGGCCTTTTTCAACCACTAGTGTCTGCGGCAGCGATGATGACAGCGCACAAACGCCTAGAGCGCGGATGCCACCTTTCAGACATTACACTGCTACACAGTAGAGAAAATACGGGAGTGTGATACCACTGTTATTATTATATAATTCTAGATGGGCATAGATAGCGCAAGGGCGCATCGTCGTTGTTATCTTTTAGCTGTTGCCATTACACCGTACCCGCCGCTGCTCGAGCGCGAATGAATGACTGTTACTCGTCCGACGTTGAATTAGCTACGTACTATCATCATTTACCTTCTTTCAAAGTAATCACATTAACAGTAGCGCATTAGCAAAAATTATGCCGTATAGAATCGCCTCTTGTAATCCTGGACTCTAACTCGCTCTTCAAACATGACGGCAGTGGCGGTAGCAATAACAGCAGGACAACAGACACGCCCTGTATAAACAACTCAAATCTTGACACTGTCTTAAACGTTGACAGAATAGGCATTCTGGTCATCAGCAGCTTTTTCTATTGCGTCACATCTACCTCTGTTCAACTGCTACCATAGAAAACGCACTGACTTTAGACTTTAGATGATCGAAATCATCTACGACGGCGAGAACTAAACTGATCAACGTGGGGCAAAGTTCGTTAAGAAATCTTCTTAAAACTATTTAGTCAGTCTTGAATTGTTCTTCCATGGCAAGGAGTAGGACGTTTTCCTCGTTGTCCATATTGAACTGTGCCTTAACCAATGTCCGATGACGACAAGTAGCAGAAGAGTCAACAGAGTAGATGGAATTGTATAACGGTCGGCTTAAAGTGGCATGCGTGCGACATCACTCGAAGCTCCCAACACAACAACGTATTGGTCCTACATTTGCGACGAGAGAACGAAAGAAGCTTTCTCTAGAAATACAATTCTATGAAAAGTAAGGCATTTTATTTTGCATAAACGGCTTATCAGCTGGTTATAAAACGGTCCAGTTGGCATTACAGACCGTCGAACAAACTGAAATCAATATAGGGAAGCAAACTATAAAACTAAGATTTCTATTCATTGTATCTAGTTAGCTCGGTCGCTTCCGGTCGAATAGTGAGTTTTATATATTAACTAGCCGATGGCTATGCGTGTCTGTGCTATCATGAGTCGCAATAATCGCCACCCCCGTATTCTCGCCCCCCCCCCCCCCCCCTAGGAGCCTTCGGCACGCTAAGCAATCGCGGGTCTACAGTGATGCTGAAACGCACACACACATACACACACGCATGAATGCGACGCACCCAGGTCCTGCACTATCGCATAAGGAAAGAAGGCAGCACTTCTGCCGTCCTATCTCCCTTTTTCTCTCGTTGTGTCGTGTGGCCGCCTACTTGTTCGAATATCCCTTTACAGCAGTCATCGGTCTCCCGACACACACATTTACTGAATTCAACGCAGCAACAAACCCGTCCTTAGAAACAGCGAGTGAGAAGACAAGCCATCCTTTATAGGACAAGAGAGGACTTTGCAAAGGTCTTTCAAGCAGGGAATATTTCTCCAAAGACGGCTCTAAAGATCTTCAATGTTTGCTGGCCTGCTCAGTGACTTGCTTAGGGATTGTTGCTTCCTTTCGGACCTTCTGGCAGCAACGGCAGCGTTACCCGTCTCGGCAGCCTCGCTCGGAGTAGACCAGTAACAGAGCTTCGTCGCCTGTTGTTGTTATCTTATGCAACAACAACGACTCTAAGCAGTAACGGCCAGTGTCAGCAGCCGTTGTTGGTGTCGCTGCGGCGAGCGTCGGCGAAACCTACGTGAGCTGATCCTGTCAGGCAGCAGCAGCAGAAGCAGCCATCCAGTCGGGTCGCCTTTTGGCGTTCGACGAGTTTGCGGAAGGACCTTCTGCCACCCAGATGCCTCCGATGCACTCTGCTCTGTACGTGTGCAGCCAGGCGCTATATGTAGTCGATATAACTTCAGAGACGGCTCCACTTGGACTTCGACCTGGTTTTTTCTGCTTCTTGCTCCCTTGTCTATTTTTCTCGCAAAAGTCATCGTCTTCTTGTTTTTTCTTTAGCTGTCGGTATTGCCAACAGAACTTACTGTTACGGCCAGCGTAATTGCCAGCCATCTTTTTTTCGGCAGTAAGAGACGCGTGGTCATTGACGTACGAATCAACAGGTCTCACCGGTTGACTTGAATAGTTAGTTAAGTTTCTCAATTTCGCCATGATATTAGTCCAGTGCCTGAGCTCCGATGAAATGTCTGACGGACAACGTCGGCTATTCCTAATACACTTTGGGATGTGGGCATGTGTGCCATTACGTCAGGTCAGAGCACATAAAGATAACGGGCAAGCTGAGTCGCACGAAAATCTTCTTCGTTCGGATAGGCGACGCGGCCACCTGGATACTGCTATACACATACCATCTTGGTCGGCAAAGTGGCCCCCGAAAGTTATTGGACAAGGTCTAACAATGCTGGCCTTACGGCATGCGACTGTGGACCCATTTTAAGAAAGTTTGAGACTAAAGCTGCAATAGGTTAATAGGAGCAGTCCGTTCGCATATTCTTGCATGCAAAAGTCATCTAGTGGTCCTATTGCGACTCGGAATTTCCTTCGTGCCTTTGATAATGTATCGAATTTAGTAAGCGAAACCTACGGTGTAACGCTGTCAGAACTTGTCGAAACATACAAACCATAGAGCCAACGTCCACATATACTGTGAATCTATTGTATTTTTCAGAGAAGTTAATTTTTTTTGGCCATTTCGTACGAAAACGACATCGTTCAGCTTAATTTTTGAGTGTTTAAGCTGAGAGTTTGGCAAACGCTTAGGATAACCATGGAGAAAATCTGGAGAACACACTAATCAAAACAGAGAACGATCGGTGCGACGACCTCATCAAGTGATGATGTCTAAAATATAAAGTTTTCACTTTCGATGCCCTTTGATTTCCCTATTCCTTTGCTCTGCCCTAACGGAAAGGCTTATTTCCGCCAAACGTGTGGACGTAAATGTTGACAAATGTACAGAAGACATTTTGTTAATGGAAACTTTTATAAATACTTTACACTAGAGCAATTCGTTATCCATTTCCTACAAGACAAATTATTATAGCAGTGCGTGCGTTTTAGCCGGCGAACCTGCCGAGCGCTGCGACGGCTTATCCTATCAGATTATTTTTAAAAACGCTCGTGTCCTGCTCCAGGGTCCTAAGGCTGGTTGCTTCTCGCCACAGAGAATTTCTGTCATTTACAAATTATGGTTGATGAAAATTTTTCTTATACACAACACTGCTAGTAGGAATATTATATAATTGCTTCAATATCTGGAGCGGAGACGAATTTATGCACGTAATTAATTTGAGTAAAGACACCTATTTACTTTTCTAAGCAATCTCGTGCACCGGCATCGCTATAAGAGACTCGCGTGCATTATTAAGATGAATTGTTCTTATGTGTAAGTTAGGGCTTTTTGTTACTAATACGTTTATTACTGCGGAAGTACGCGCGCTCCCCCGCGTCATTTCGAGATTGTATTAGTTTATAGCAAGAAACGAAGCCCCGTTACTCGCACGAGCTATCATTCGTAGCAGAAAGTTTGAAGGTTAAGTTATCCAGCCATACTATAATATTTGCTATTGCGAACGTACTATGTTTTAGGGTAGGGCTTTGCCTGAAATCAAATAGTTTGGCCACTGATTCATATTCCTTGCGCTGGCTACTCAGGACAACAAGTCGTGTTGAGACATCCTCAAGTTTACCACAACATACCGTAAGTTTAACGAAGTGGTTTTTTATATATACAAGGTAGAATTTACGAAAATTTACTACCTGAGAATGTCCACGTGCATCGCATGTGATAAATACCAGCCTGTGAGAATTGGAATAGTTTATATTTTGAAAAACCATATTTGTTGCTGGCTGCTTTCCAGTACCCACCATTATGTCTGACAGCTCCTAAATATTTTGTCGCCTAACTTTGCCCACTCTATCAGTGTTATAGCTCCGTTGAAGATATTTCAGATTCCGTGGCCTAGTTCCGATGTGTGAAACTTTGCCCCTGACGAAAACTATTACGTGATAAGCACTTCCCTTGTCTAGAATCTTTTTATTTTACCGTAAATATTTGTGTACTTAATGAAACCTAATTCATTATACGAGTTGATGGGACATTTTACGTATATATTGCACTGTCTCTGATGGGCCCACTTGAAAATAGTATGTATATACACAATGGAACGTCAATGGAAGGCGTTACATTGCTTGTGTTACTTAATTAGTTAATCGCACACCCCTCAATTGCACTTCGTTTATTAAGAACTTCAACATGGAAGACGAGCAGCATACCTAGATCTACCCATATTTATAATATTCATACCTGCGGTGATAGCAAAGCAATGCCGTTGTATATTAGAAAGAAAAATTAATGCTACAGGCGGTTACTGTCTATATCTTTGGGGTCTTATATGCGTCTCGCGCTGTCTTCACGCGTACATCTGTGTCTATGCTATCCATTAACTTTAGCCGTCTGTTTCCGGCGATGATTTTCGGTGTCTTCTTGTATTTTGTCTTCCCTTTCAGCCATTTTCGAATTCGCTTTTTTCTGCCCCGTTGTAATCAAGCGGGGACCGACCAGAGGCCTAGCGGCAGACGCTTCAGCTAGCTGAAGTTGGCGCAGCGAAGGCAGCGACAACAGCAGCGGCATCGGCTTCAGCCGTGTTGGTCGGTATAGCAGAAATAGCACCGGCAACAATATTCCTTCAACGGCAGTTATTATATAACATGATCACCCTACGTTACTTCATTTCGCTAGCCGTTGCTGCGGTTGGATCGTTGCTTGATTCATGCTGATGTTCGCGGTGTTGCTGCTGGTATTAGTCAGCGGCGGTAGTAGCACCAGCAGTGGTGGGGAAAGGACTGATGCCGGTGGAGAGGGTTAGGCTATCACCTCTCGCCACCATTAAGTACCAAAATATCGCATGGATTCTGGTGATGCACCAGAATTTCGAAGTGATCTCCTGGATACGGCCACGACGGCCAATCATTAAGTAAAATCAAGTTACATTATAATGTTATGATCGAGAGTGACTGACAAACAGAATCTGCGCCCTCTTCCCTCGACGCGCAAATAGCTGCCACTACAACAACAGCTAGTACGGACAGTGTTTGTGACCTTCGTCGGCCTAGGCCCTGCGCAGAACCGAACAATCGGAAGACTTTCACCTTCGCAGCTGCTCTCCAAAAGGAGACGTTTCATTGTTTATGGATTAACGCTCCAGTGTTCAATCATGCCGAAGGCTTTCCTCGTGCGCAAACAGCGCATCTTGGCAGCGCATGCCAAGGAACAGGCCGAATTGGCTGCGAGGCGTGCACTCACTGAAGGCCCCGGCGGGTCCGATGAGCCCCTGGCTCTCGTGTGTCCACCGGTGACCCCTCCAGCGAGCCCCGAAGGCCAAACTGGCCTGCCGGGCCTTGCAAACCATGCGTACCCAGCAGCGCCAGCTCCTTCGGTCGGTGCACAAGAAGAGCCACTCAGTCTAACCACGAAAAGGCGTGCCCATGAAGAATCTGAGGACGAACTCGTAATCGGTGAGTACCTGTGTTTACGCAACGATAATTTAATCAATCTAATCGCTTTTACAGATTTCTTCTTTAACAATTTTCCGCTGGATAAACAACTTCATCAATTGTTTTCCTCTGCGTATAGAAAAGGAAGTGTTTTCCCGTTTCCACTCATGCTTGATAAACCGCCATTTCCTGTCCTAAAAGCATTCACAACAACGAAGGTTTCAATGATACTATACGCAAGTCATGTTCATATCCTCTAGTACAAAAAAAGTCGAAAAGGATAAGGCCATTTTTTTGTCACGCCACTAAGATCCTGTTTCCTGTTGTCCAGTTCGATCTTTGTTTTTGATTGTGGTGCTGGCTCTTTCTGTTGTACTGATGGTAAATACTCCTCCGGCTTTATTTCTTGTAAGAAGCCGATTCCTCCAGCCGCTGCTGCCCCGGCCGTCTTTTACATAGAGAAAGAATGCCTGCAGCTTGTGCGTTCGAGTGGGGTGAGGGGAACGGGGCAGGAGAGTAGAGGCTTGGCGTTATTCGGCTGCGCCACATTGCGTTGTGCGTCGGGACTTCCTTCACAGCTTCTTTCTTTCTCGTTTATCTCCCTGTATGTACGTTGGCGATCCCATACGCTCCGTTGTCCGAAGGGCCGACGTTTTCGCGTTCGTTCAACAGCATCCGCATCGTGCGGCTGTTGGCCGAACTCGGCCAAACCCTTTCTGGGAATCTTTTCAACGGTCGGCTTTCTTCCTTAAGGAAACCGTTATCGATTCCGCGCGCCCCGAGGTCGTCTGTCGTTCAACTTTATTTTAGGCCCTTCGACTGAACGTTCGGCTGTGCATGTTCATTATAATCAGTAGGTTGCATGGGACGCCATGTGCTTGTCGAACCAGGAGATGTGACGAAGAAGAAATCTGTCCAGACTACTCAGTACTTCCCCGTTCTAAGTATCTGAACCCGTATCTCGTCATTACCTAATTCGTCAATCGGTCGCGTCAGCCATAACGACATATAGATACACATGTGTAAGCACTGAGAGGTACAAAACACGCATGACTGAGAGTGATGGGTGATCCCCTACCAACAAAACGGTTGCATCGGTTGCTGCAACGATTATTTTCAGTCAAGTCCAATTCTATATATAGAATAAATAGATAGACAGACGTTTTATGCTCATTTAATGCATCTGTAACTGAGCGGCGTCTCCATAGTAGCATAGTGGTGTCGTCTTCTTCTTTGTCGTATGTCGTTCTGTATCGCTGTCTAGCTAAGTGTCGTTGTCGGGACGCTGAGTACGTGTGTTTCTCACCGAAAGGCAGAAGTCCTCCTTTCCACAGCAGCTTCCCATTGCGTGAAGTCAGACACACTCGCTGCAACGGCGTCACCACAGGCAGCAGAGGTGGTGGTGGTGGCATAGGATATCATCAAAAACAAATGACGTCACCCGTTGCCAAAAGCACCCCTACATCAGTTCGACTTGCCGTTTGCTGCCACCGCCGCAACGCCTGGTTCTGCTACGCAGTCTTCTTTTTGCTGCGGTGACGATCGCACGGCTTACGACCATTGATTGATATGTATGTGCTATAGATGGGTGTTGGTGTTTGATCATCAACGGCGCAATCCGGTTGCCTGGTAGCCCGGGTTATTCGTTAGCTCGATTGTTTTGTTACTTGCTTACTGTTGAAGCCAGCAAGCGAACCCAAAGATACACATCGTTTAGCAGCAGATGGGCGGGCTCGCGCAGTATTTCTGCACGTAGTTTCTATTCTAGTTAGTTATCGGGGCTCGTGTTAGCAAAACGCGGGAACAGTTCGCACAGAGAACAGACGAAATGGTCATTCGGCCGAAGGCAGCAACCTGGAAATGGAAGTGCTAGCGCGTTTTTTCGTTGGTTCTCATCGCACTCGACTCGTGGTTTCACTTATGACTCATGGCAGCTCTGTTATCCGTCACCTGAGCCATCCCCGAGTGAACGTCATTTCGATTTCTGGATCCATACATTGCTGAAGGGTGACGTTCTGCAGATACGCATATATCAATATTATAATATAGACCGATGTGTATATATATACTGCCGTTATTTACAATGTTTTCCCGCGTTACGGACACAAGAGGTTCCCTTCAAGTATTGTCTAGGAAGGTGTCCGGTAATTATAAACGAAGTAGTGGCGGACGTATTTGCTGCCCCTATGAAGCGCGCCTGAGCAGAGAAAAATACGGGAGAGGAGGAAATGCGAAGAATAGGAAAGGAGGGAAAGCGGGAAAAGATGAACCAATTTCTGGTATTATGATAATCACGCTTTGTGACGCGCCACCCGATTTCGGCGTAGTCGGTGTTATAATGAATCATCGTAGGAAATGACATTTTACAATTTTTTGTCATCTTGATAAATTTCCAGTAATCAAATCGTTGCTTTCCTAGTTAGGTTCGTAGATAGCAGAACAGTGCAGCAGGACGATAAAGCGCCAAACTGCTATTATATTTATACAAATAACTTTATCTGACCAAACATATAGTCTATCCATGTTGATGTTGGTAGTGGTGCTCCCTGTCGGCACTGTTTGTTGCTTCTGCAAAGATCGAACGGTCGTCGCTTGCGATGGGGGGGACGACAGCGCTCGTGACGTTGATAGCAACTAAATCGAAATTCCATCCTCTACTCACTTATCCTTCACATTGACATTCATTCAATTGTTGCATTCTTCGTTTGTCGATGGACTGAAGCTGTGAGCTGGATGTTTCGGTAGCTACTGCTGCTGTTATTGATAGATTATGCGATAGATTGACGGCGTCGAGGAAGAATTCTGCGCGCGCTGGGTTGTGACGGACGGATGATCAGGCGACCGCCGTTGTTGCAGTCGCAAATACGTTCAGGACGTCAGACTCCATTTGTAACAACAACAACAACGGCAGCAGCGCGGCAGTAGCAACAGTATACCCGTCGCCGCGGGTGCTTGACCGACGTCGTGGCGTAGCGAAGGTCGTCACGCGGAAGGAGCAATAATGCAAGGCTTATGTAAGCGTCATCCATCGCGTTGGGCAACAAGCGACATGCAGACGGTGCGAAGTATCATAGGACGGCGAGCTACACTATTCCAGGTAGACAATTAGACGCCTTTTAAGGGAGGACAGTGCCTTGCCGTGCAATCCGGATCACGTGATTGCCTGCGGAAGCCTACGTTTCTGGTCGTATCTCTGATCGTATTGGTCTATCCATGATTTAAGCAACTGCCGCCGCTGATCAATATGCATTGGTACTTATTGAAGCACACGCATGCACAGGAGTTCGTATACATGCATAGATATCAGTTAATTAGTTCCGAATGAACGCTGCACCATACATGTGTCTGATGTGAGTGTACGCCTATTGGCATTCCTCGGTAATTGCTGACGAGACACACTTCTAAGGGAGCTGCCGCTGTCATCAGTCATTCACGTTTCTCTCTCTCCCCCTCCCCCTCACGCGCGCTCTTTCGAATGTTTGAAATTCATTGTTGTATCAGTATTAATGTAACAGATCGGAAGTCAATGTCGAAGCTTCGTTATTGAGCTTTAGTATTTTTATGTGGTATGTCGATGCAATGGGAATAGCACGTAAGTGTGTCGCAAGAAAAATGTCAACTCATCAATACTTTGCATAGTCCGTCGCGGCAGTCACTTCTCGTCAAAGCAGGCTTTCATTGGGACTTGTTTAGTCGCACTCTCGGTCTCGTGGATTGCACTTGTTCAAGGTCAGGCAAACAACAACAACAACAGCAACAACAACAACAAATGAACAGCTCGAATGAGCTCGATCAGCGAAACGCGTCGTTTAGAATGGGTCTCCCTGTAGGTTTCTGTGTGAGCAGAAATGGCCAGGGCCTCTTCCTGCCAACTTTCAACATCAAATCCCAACGAGTGCTCCGAATACGATCGGCAGTATGTTATGGCGGTTATGATGGGGCTGCAAGCTTCGGCAACATTTGGTCTTCAGTACTTCGGGACTTTCTCAAGCAGGTGCCTCCGACGGCTTCCGCTGTGCGGTGTGCGCTTCAGCGACGCACCGCGAGTTGTTACCATAGGAAGCGCCCCGACGGTGGCTTTGTCGGACAGTAGATCTCATGGGCAGGCGTTCAAGAGAACGTTAGCGCGGGAACGTTCCCACATTCACTTGTTAGTCGGGGTGCAGCCGCCATCAAATCTGCTGTTCATTCTTGCTGCCGCCACCGCCGTCGGCGTCCTACTGCTGCCGGTCTCGCCACCTTGCTCACTGATGTCCACCGTCATCGTCATCATGTACCTGCTACCTATTGCCACAACCATCAATACCTGGCCTTCGTTCCTTTCTTCGTCAACCTCGAATGCGGCAACGATGGCCATACGCATAGAAAGTAATAAGTAAAAACCTCATTAGGCCGCAGAGCGTATTGGCTACACCGGCTCACTTGCCCGGCCAGGACGAATGGTTTCCACAAGGTTTTATCCTGTCGCCATACTTGACGAAACGCGTTAAGGGGTAACTAGCGACACTGAGAGTGACTGATGCTTGAAGGAACAGGGAAGGCGATTGAAGAAGGACACCTTTACTCGACCGTCCTGTGGCGACACTTCGATGTACCTATCGAGAAGGGAGCAGCAACAGATGAGAAGCACAAATAAGTTGAGCTAACAGGGGCATCGGAATTAAGCACAATTGTGTTAGGAGGTAATTTAAAACCAGCCTGAAGAAGTTGGTGTATGTAGGTATGTAGGCATAGCCTAACTGTAACTATAACAGAGAAACGTAGTAGGTTGAGAGAAAGCAGATACTACTCTGGATTGTTTTTTTATTGAAACGGGGCATCGATGTCGGGGCTTGGGAAGGGGAGGTTGTTACGCTCTGTTCGATCCATTTCATCCATGACTACTCCCGTTTGGTGATAGGCATCGTTCTATCATCCTCTGTTGTTTTTCTGGTGCATCATCGTCTTCGTCGGTGCATTGACAACGACGACGTTGGCAGGTAGCAAAAATATCGTTAGTGTCGATCGATATGGCTGAACGGATGAGTGGTGCCCAGATCTCGCAGCATAGTCGAACTGTAGGTTATGTGACTGGACACAGGTCCAACAGGTGGTCCTATCTGAACCTGCTATCCTCGGTGGCTTTTCTGCAGTAGTGTATAGATAACTACTCGAATATACATGGGTATTTACGTGTTTGCTTTACTCACGATTTGTATGTGTCAGTGTACCGATATGCCCGTGTGGTCCTGGGGGCATAAGGTCGTTATATGGTTCAACACTCGCATTGTCGCACGCTATTTAGAAGTGTCACCGTTCTTTGAGCTGTCGAGCATCGTCTGTGGGAAATAGGATTTTTTAGCGTTTTCGATTTGTGGGGGCATCCTGAGTCGTGCTCATTATTCTGTATGGAAATGTTTAGCTCCCGTCTGCGTTTTCATGATCTGTCGTCATCGTCGACATTGCTCTGATTCGATGTATCAGCGACTTCGTATGTGACAATCCTGCTGGCGCCTACTGCCTTCTTCCTCCGTCTTCGTCCTTCTGCATACACTGCGCCGTCTGGCCTACTGCAGGTATTTTGCCTGTCTACGGACTGCCATCTGTCACTGTGAATTCTCTATAAGGTTCTGTGGCTACTGTAACAACGGGGCAGGCGGAGTAACAGTAACGCTATGAGGCAACAATATAGCAGATTCACAACTCGATCAGCCTCAGCCCGAGAACCAGCGATAGAACCACCTAAAGAATCACGGAACTGCTACCGTCATAATCTTGATATATTTAAGCGTATATCAGTGTTATTCTATTGTGTACGCGCGAGTACGCTACTTAACTACCAAAAAAGCGTCGGCGAGAAAAAAACGTTTATTTGTAATGCCTGTAAGCTGAATGTACCTATTCCAGCGTACAAACTAGACGGCCTATAGGGATACAAACGGCAGCGCCTATCAGCATCTCTCGTCCTTGAGCGCAACGGCAACAATCTATTCTTGCTGGGTCGTTCCCTTGCTGACTACGTGAGATGAACCAGATTTCGGCGGGCGAAACCGAACGGTCAAAATGGAGAAAAGGCTGTTGGATAGCAGAGTAGACCTGAACCAGCAGCTGAAGGGCCATACAGAGAGAAAATAGGCCATTAACGACCTTTGCTGATGCTGCTGTTGCTACAGTCTCTACTGGATGCTTCGCGGCCGTTCGATTTGCTCGAATCCTTCGTTCAGCTTTTTGCGGCTCTATTTGTCTCAGCTCCTTGAATGTGGCGCCGGCCGCAAATAGTACGCAAGCGTCATCCCTTGTGCTATTCATCGTATAGCCAGCTTCTAACCACGATCCAAAGCTGCTCGCCATGTAGACAGAGTCTAGCGGTTCGTGCTTGGCCGGCTGGTCTTATTTCACCACTGACATAGAAAGAAACAGAAACTCCATCCGTTTTATATACTTAGTGTACGAAGTGTTGTTGCTATTGGAGATTCCGTGGCAATAGATCCTCGCTTGTAGCTGTCGTCGTCGTCGTCGTATAGGTGCTGATAGTAGCAGCAGCAGCAGCAGCGGCAGTGGCAGTAACCAGTTCACTCGCTCGCTCGCTCTTTTCTTGCTGGGCCATAGGCAACGACATCATCGACAACGACAACAACAGCGCGGCAGCTCAAAGAACGACCACGAGACGGCTGCAGGCTCAGCTACGAGCTTCTAACCTATATCGCCGCGTTTCTGCTCGGGGAAAAGCAGAGTTCGAACAGCTATAGAAAACAGCATCTTTCTAGCATTTATGCCGCTGCTGCCGTTGCTGGCGCTCGCTCTCCCTCCGACATCAGATCCGCCGTCGTTTGTTGGTCGTTCCGAGAAAAGCGCTCGTTGGAGGAATGCTGTTTAAAAGGGGCAAAGGTTGTGAACTAACGGTCCTCTCCACTATAGTGCATAGTAAGCTAGCTGTCAGACTGGCCGTTAGTAACCGCCAGCATGAATAGCAGCGGCGTCAATAGCAGCCGAAGCCATATGGGTGCAGCGGCAGCCATCATAGCGGCACGGACTGCTAGCTGCGACTGAACTGGGTGTACGGCTGTTCTATAAGTGTTCGCCAGTTCGTTGTGTGCCTTCGCTTCGATTCTTTTCGTCCGTTTTCTCTTTTTTGCACAGTCGCTCCTTAGCGGACAGCGCACACTCACCCTGTATGTCTTCCTATCTACGCTCTCGCCCCGTTCATCTTCTTTGCTCTCTACGCACACGGGTCTTCCTTTCTCTTTATAGCGTATGCATATGTCGAACGAGTGACCCATACGGCTGCGGCCGAAAGCCCATCGTCATCTAAGCGCCATATGGAGCTTGAATCACGAATGAGCTGATGCCGCCACCGCCGACGAATGGCGCCCCGCTGGGCGATTCAAGTGATCTCAGTGTCCTTGGCTTATTTTTCTTTTCCTTCGTCTTCTTTTTCTCCTACCCTTCTTAATCTTTTCTACTTTCTCGCCTTTAGTCGCTATCTCTATGCCCCCCTCCGACAGTTTACCTCTGTAGCTCTTTGCCCTGTCTATTTCGTGAATACGTCATTCAAGAATCCACAGTGGTTTTTTTTTTTAAGAGGCAGATGTAAACCACGCGGTGCGATGACTCTCACCGGGTTCGGCTTTCGTGCAAACGTCAGTTAGGTATATATTCATGTATACCTACGCGTCCTGTACTACGCATTCTTTACTTAACGCTAGTTCTGTTTTGTTGCAGATGAACGGCCCGAAACGCAACGCGTAATGCAATGGCTGCCGACGGTCTCGCGTTCATCAACGACGCCACCCCAGTCGGAAAGCGAGGATGAGGTAACCTCAACAGTGCCAATGCTTGGTCATCCTGCCTACCACCATGCACCATTTTCATCACAGCGGGTTCCGGTCATCCAGGAAATGCAAACTCCGCTTCGACCTCAGCCGTATTACCCCGCGTCGCGTTTCGAGGATTTCCGACCTGAGTATCACATCGCACATCCGCATGAGTATACAGCAGCTGCTGCTGCAGCCGCTGCCGCCGCTGCAGCAGCCCATAATCACCGTGGGCATCCCACTGCCGCTGCTGCTGCAGCTGCTGCAGCTGCTGCTGCTGCTGCTGCTGTAGGTGCCCAGGACTATCAACCAGCATCTGTACATACACTAACATGCCTCAGCCCTGATCCGCATCTTCTATGTGACATGTCCGCTAGACCGTCGTCACCCATACAGGGCGAATGGCCTGATACTAAAGGACAGAAGACGAGCAGCAGCAGCAGCAGTAGCAGTAGCCCAGAAAAGATTAGTAGTCACTCCGATGATGAAAGCCAGAGTGGATTTGATCCTGTTAGCCCCGGTCTCCAGTGTCGTATTCAAGTTCTTCGGCAAAGGGTACGGATTATTAGCAACTTGACAATGGTTATTACTACCATCATTACTATTGCAATTATATTCAGATTGATGCATCTTAGTGCAAACTGCAAAGCTTGCTTTATTATCAGTTTGTCAAGCTATTATCAGCTTTTTTTCGTGTTACAGATGGGTATACCGATCGCAGCTCCCATAGAATTCGTGAACGGTGGCCATGGAATCAAGAATCCACTTCTGAATTTGGGTAGTTCGACTCCGGCCTCAGCTCCGCCTCCGCCACCGACGGTCAAAGGTTCAGTACCACCAGCTGCAGCGGCTGTTAACCAACGAAAGCCAGCGGTCGACGCTGCTGCCACCGAAACAATCGAACAGCCCCAAAACCTCAGCAACACCTGCGATGTCAACAACAATTATATAAGCAATTCAGCCAGCTGTAACGCGACAGGTGCCAGTAATGACAAGTAAGTATATGTATAATAGAGACATTTCTATTTTTTTCACGCTGTCTAATCGGCGTAATTGTAGTACGCTATTGTGAATTAGACTGATTCAGTTTACCAATACCACATATTGGCTTTTTTTTTTTGCTGGTACTCGGAAGTAACCACAAACTGGTGGCTGGCTATCATCAACGGGCTATGGGCGGCACTGGGAGATTTTTCGTAGAAGTGGTTTCTGCTGCTATTAATGCTATTGCTGCCCCTCGGTAGCTTTTTGGATGTTCCACGTCTGCTGCTGCTCTTACTGCTTTTTAATCTTCTGGCAATTTTGGCTTTTTCAACGGTAAAAACGTCAACATATCTTCAACAAGCGAAATGCCTTTATCCCTGTAGCAAGCCTGCAGCCAATAAGCTATGCCCTGCTTGTTAATCGAATGGCAGAAAATAAGCATAGCCAACGGACAGATGAAACGACAAAATGAACCATCGGTAGGACTAGTCGTACTAAAAAGAATGGTAGCCAGCCCCAGTCCAAGGACGCCATGAAGCTGAAAGCATTAAACAGTGGAGAAGAAATCACCAAACTGGTGGTAAACTGTTATGCAGAAACACGATAGACGCAAACCCAAGTTGAAGGAAGAGCAGAATTGAAGGCTGGGTGCCTTTGGGGATTTGTTTGGCGTTGTCAACGCCGTGATAACGCTACAGCTACCGTTATTATTATTACTACTACTACTACTGCTGCTGCTGCTGCTGCGACCATCAGCATCACAGTTACTGGCGGAGATCACCATATGCCAGCAGTGCAGATAGCGTCTACGTTTTCATTGCAACCATCGCCTTTGCCACCGTTGCGGGGCACCGCACGAGGATCTGATCGTTGTTTGTGGTGACGATGGCGGTTACTGGTCGGCGTTCGGCGTATGCCGCTTGCCTACGTTCTTACCCGGCCGCTGTAAGCATGCTGGTGGCTAGGATTTGTGGCAGTGACGAAAGCCAATAATACGACCATTCGTTGGCTAGTCCATCTTATCCCGGTCGTCGATCGTCGCACTTCCCTTCCGCCGTCGTAGCGGTTGCGTTAGATGTAATAACAATAACACAACAATCTGATGAATCAGACTCCGACCTAGCGAACGGTGAAAAGACAAGGCCAGGACGAACGCGATGGCTCTCTTTGCCTCTGTTCGAATGTGGCTTATACGAACGCTGGTGTATTACGCCTGCTTGCACGTCTGCGTTTCAGAGTAAAGCGATGAAGATGCTGCCATTGCTCTTCTCGATGGTGACGCTGATGCTGTTAAAGCTGTTAGCGTAGGAGGTGTGAAGGATCGTTCGCGCATTGCTAGTAGGGGGGAGCGGGCCCTGATCTGTGGAGGTCTCTGCTTATTAAGAGAAATCAAACGAGAACGCGAGAAACAGGACCTGAGGAAGCTGCTAGTATTACGGAAATCTGGATTTACTCAGATAATAGGACCGATGATAAGAACAGGGCAATCATAATGATCGAGGATGGTCCTTGCGCCTAGATGGACTCGCCTAATTCTGTCGCCGTATTCTATTCCATATACGTAAAATTTGTCTACGTTGAAATACACAGCCTCAATAGCACGTATCGATACGGGTGTAGTTCTGTGGCGTGTAAACGACGTATTCTAATTGTTTGATTATAAGCAGGCTAAAATTTACGTGACTAGCTGCCAGGCCAGCCAGGCCCGGTTACGTATAGACGTATCAACACGCCCCGTACACAGATATCTATATGCAGCCAATAATAGGGCTGATTAGTTGTCTAATAGTCTTTGTCATCATCGTCACTTCCATCCTCACCGTTTGCCCAAAATAATTTTTTTCCCATCATCTTTTTCATTCTCCTAATTTGTGTTGTTGCTGTTGTTGTCATCGACGTTATCGTCACAGTTCTCCACCGCGACCGCGCTTACTGCTGCCGTTGTTAATAATTACGTTCGTCAAAGTCGAAGGACGTCTGACTTTGGCGGTACTTTGGCCGCAAGGTCACACTTTTAGACGCACGCAGTCATCCAAGCACCCATAGAGATACGCGCGCTTGCGCACACACACATATACTAGAGACATTCATGAAGCAGGATACGTGCTGCGTCGAAAGGCGCTCCATCGTCAATATCTTCAGTTTCTCTCTTAACTTACAACGACGGATGATGACAGCGGACTGCGAAGACTGTTGCTACGCGACATGATTCCATGGTAGAGTCATCGTTGGTGTTACTATTGTGTTTGGTAGCAGTTCGTACTTCGACTATCAATCCGTCTATTTGTCTGTCATACATTTACGTGTGTGTTAGCGTATGTATTATGGCATGGCTCGCTGTGATAACAGCTTTTCGGTTGACTTTTTTTTTCTGCTAACGGAAATGCAATATTGAGTATCTCTCTCCAGCCGATTGTTTTATAGTGGCTTCAATTATTCGGGCGACATCTGCTGCCGCTGCAGTTACTGCTACCACCAGCAAAGAAATCATGATGTTGGTTCTTTACCATGACTTTTATCACACACCTTTATCTGATCTGCCATTTCTTCACTTGGGCCCGGTGATTTATTTTCTCCCGTACTGTTTTTCTTTGTTTGTGTGCTTATCTCCTTTCATCCATCCCTATTGCTCGTTTCTACTCTATCTCGACAACGATGATGATCGTGAAATCATCGCCGCAGACACGCATAGCCGAAAACAGGACGCGCTGTTTCGCGTACGTACACACTGCTGTACAGCCCCAATAACAGCAGGATGAAATGTTGATTTTTTTTTATTGGGTTTGTGTAGCTTATTATTGCTGCCAATGAGACGTTTAGCCTGTTATCACTTATTGCGTAAACGACGTGCGGCGGCGCGCAAACAAACGTCGACACGCCGATGTCAAACGGCCATTGATGGTTAACGCGTTGAGAACTTCTGACATTTGCAGCACAGGATCAGCCGTGGAAACGATACGCGATATACATTAGAGCGTTGATACGCGAGCTTGTTTCAACCCCAGTATCGTTGTCGTCTTCGACGTCACCTCGGTACGGGGCGATCGTTAGCCTCGGGGCACAACCTTCACCGTGAACCGTTTCCCATACGCTGCGCCGTTGTTGGTTACCGTCTGTGGTAGGAAAAGAAGTAACAGAAGCAGCCGTGGCAGCATTAGAAGTAATTTGGACTTCGCTTGCTTGTTCGTTCGTTTGTCGTCGTTGTCGTTGAACCGTTGCGTTGAGCGACCACCGTTACAGGTTGAACGAAACGGCTAAAATGCCGAGTCGAGCAGCGACAGTAACAGGAACAACGGCAAGAGGCAACGATCGAGTGAGAGCGATATGTTTTGTGGCAGTTGTTCTTGTTGCGCTGCTATAAGAGGAGTCTGTTGCAGTTGGGGCAAGTATCTCCGTCGCGGCGATCGCGCAGCAGATGAATTTCTCTGGTTCAAGCAACAGACAGATACATGTATGCGGCTATGAAGGTAGATGCGTAGACGTACGGTCCATGCCTGCGTTCTCGTGTGAACCACCGGCCTTTTGCCGACATTAGTAGTAGTAGTGGTGGTGGCAGTAGTAGTAGTAGTAGTAGTAGTAGTAGTAGCAGCAGCAGCAGCAAAGCATAGTGCCGACAGAGCGACTGTTGGTCGCGTTCTTACGGCCTGCTCTTTCACCGGTCTTCGAGCCGTTGTCTGACTGCCAGCTGAAGCCTCAACGGTTTCAACGTCGAAGAACGGTTGAACAGTTCGCAAGGCCGAAACGAATTGTCCCATTGGCGCAGGGGTGAGCGAAACGTGTAACATGAATAGGGAGCACAATGTTAATGATACAGATAATAATCACTGTTAAAGGGAACATAATGATACAGATAATAATCACTATTAATCTGTATTTGTGCGTCCGCGCACATACTTCCTAGCGTGGAATCAACTGAATTCCAACGGATGCGAGACGCCCCCGTTGCCTTCAGAAACAAGCTCATCGTCGGTACTCGTCCAACCGTTGGGGTTATGATTGCTGTTATTGCCGCGTCTGCTAGTGCCGTCGTTTTTTTCGTGATGTTAAAGTGTCAATCACCTGCTGCAGTAGCAGCAGCAGCAGCAACAGCAATCGGCCTGCATCAATCTCTATCATATTGTCTTTTCGCTTCGTTGGCACCGGGTCCATTGAAGGACAGACACGCATACAGGTCCACACAACCCCAATCCCAGCAACACCGCTGTTCCAAAGTAAAGGCTGCGGAGAACAAATGCACATACGAAACAAATTTACGCTCGCTATGCTGTGCGTTTAGCTGTGACTGTTCATCTCTGTGCTATCGGCGCGAAAAGAACAGCGGGGCAGGTGCTTTTACCGGATGGTTCGCTGAGATTTGCCCGCTGCCTTCTTAAGTGCCGTTGTCGACTCGACTGAACTTACGGCGACCACCGGTGACTATCGGTGCTGTCTGTTATAGATGTGTGTGTTCGCATCTTCAAACTTCAGAAGTTGATCTTGTTTCAAACAGGGATACTGGTTTGGGCAGATAGTAGCATGGAGGGATGCCGCTTTTATAGAACAGGCAACGAAAGCCGAACAGCTTAATGAGAACTTCCGCCGTCAGTGAAAGATCTGGGCTAAGGGGCCTGTGCGACCGTTACTAACCGTTTTTCTTTTCTGCTCTGCTTCAGGCTCGCCTGTAAGGTATGTGGCAAATCGTTCGGACTTCAGCGCCTGCTCAACCGTCACATGAAGTGTCATAGCGATGTGAAGCGCTATCTATGCACATTTTGCGGGAAAGGCTTTAACGATACGTTTGACCTGAAACGTCACACCCGAACCCACACCGGCGTACGACCATATAAGTGCAACCTCTGCGATAAGTCGTTCACGCAGCGTTGCTCATTGGAGTCGCATTCGCTCAAGGTGCACGGAGCGAAGCATCAGTACGCGTACAAGGAACGCCGCCAAAAGATGTACGTCTGTGAAGAATGTGGTCATACGACAAACGAGCCCGAAGTTCACTACGTCCACCTGAAGGAAAACCACCCGTATAGTCCGGCATTACTGAAGTTTTACGATAAGCGACACTTTAAATTCCAGGATGGATCCTTTCCAGTCACGTTGTTGCAGCATCCAAAAGATGCGACTTCTCAGGAACAGTACTAAGTGGTATTTCGAAAAAAACACTGATGAGCTATCATCATGTACCCGTCACCTTGAAAGGCGGTACTAATAACTACGATGATACCAGCAGCGATAAATTAGTTGAATACAATCGAAGTAGCAGAGATCGAATCCGGTGCGAACTATCGCTACGAATAATAGCTTGACAGTAAGTTGTCGACCCCCTGAGTCGATAGAACGATGATGCCGGGGTAGTCTTTCACTCTAGGCGCGAAGATTGAGCGCCCGGTCACTGAGGTGAACTACGTAATAATGTTCTTACTATGTTGGACGGAGTGACACTAATGAAACCGTCCACCAGATTCCGAATAGGCATTCATTATATTCAGGACTAACCAGGCCGGTTGATTAAAATCAACAAAGCGGTGTCCGTAGAACCTACTTACATACAATGAAATACTATTCCTGCTATAATCCTTTTGCTGTACACGACTACGTTACTATTGATCATATAAGAACGATGCATTTATGTCATTATTTCAATGATGAGGACAACGAAGACCATTTCAACTATACATAGAATAATAATAACATAAATAACGGCCTGAGAAGAAAAAGAAAAAAACAAAACATTTTATTATACTATTATACAAAAAATATAAAAGAGAATCGTACATAGCTTATCATAATTAAGGAGGCGACAGTAGTTTAACATATGAGGAGCAAATGGTTTCTAACAAAATATTACATAAGAAAGAGGAAGTAATGAATAGAACGTGCAGGAAGGCAAAACAAGAACAAAGAAAGCAAGCATAATCGAAAGAACTGACGAAATTTAAGTTGTGGTAAGTAAGCATAATCGAAAGTGAACGTTCACTTTTTAACTGACGAAACATAAGTTGTGAAAAAAGGACAATACGAAGATGATAAAGGAGAACAAAAAGCGAGGCAGTGAGAAGCTCGAGCTCTCTAAGGGCATTCCCGTGATCCCTAGTCTCTTTTTTCGCAGAGAACAAACAACACACATCTTAGCTATGACGGAGAAAGAAGCATAACCTCTCATGATCTCTCTCAATCAGTCGATCAATCGAACAGCACGACCCTCACCTGTTTTTTTTTTGTACGCGGTATAAGACAGCCGCTTCGCTTCGCTTCGTTTATTTTAAGAAACGTGAAACTTATCCTAATAAGAAGTTATAAAACGATCAATAAATTTGAGTGTTTGAAATGAGGGCTATGGAGCGGACCACGTTACGATCCGATATTGTTCTTTCTTCGTCAAGTAATACTGTGAAGCGGCTCAGAATTAATGCATATGACCTTTACTTCATCAACTCATCCACATGTTCTCGGAACTTACCTAAACTTTGCGGATCTCTTCAAACTTGTCTCCTAGAGCTAACTCCTTTTCGCAACAATATAAATACAATACGAAATCTGTAGAGAGATAAATGTAAACAGAATTTATAATTATAACAACACACACACAGAGACACACACACAGACATAGACACAGACACAGACACAGACACAGACACACACAGACACAGACACACACACGAAGACACACGCACACGCTCACACACAGACATGCATGCACACGGACATAGTCACACAAATTTACCTACCGACCGCACTTTCGTGGATGAATCGGGACAGATGTTTTACCAAAATGCACAGCAAAGTAACTGAATAACATGGGCGTCTCTACCAAATGACATTGTAACTTATTTCTCTGTGATAACAACACTCGAAGGTGAAGTGAAGGAGATACAAGGTAAAGGTGGAACTATGATTGTTGATGGAGGAAATGAGCGATTACTGAAGGCTTATTATCCATAATAGTAACAACTGCACATAATAGATGCCTATTATTCATATAGGAGGAAGCCACAAAACAAGCTGATGTGTTTCGCTGTATTGAGCACTACAAGTTCGGTTTAACGGGTCAGTAGTGTTGTATATAGATTTGGCTGGGTGTTAACCCAAGCTGACAATGTTTAGACTGATGTTACAAAGCAGTGGAGAGCTATGATCCGAACTACTCTAGGAACTTGTAGATATCTGTAGTAGCCCATCATTGGTGATCTGCTTTCGAGTTGATCGAGAGAAAAACAGGCTCCACGAATAGGCACTTGTGTTGTGTACATATTTATTACTACTTTATAAACAACGGAGGTGGAAAATTAAAGTAGATTTGTGAAACCTATATATATAGTTGCGGTATGGCCCTCGTATAGGCAGCTTGATTGTTAATTTGGTGCGATCCCTGGCGCATGGACGCCACTACAAACAAGTATCAACGCGGTGGTGGTTGACTGCGATCGAAGGAAAGATTGTCGCCAACGTGTACATTAGCCAAAGAGAAACCATATTCATATCGTAAACAACAGTAATATAATTTTATCAGTACTAAATAAACACGACGCAAATATAAATCCATTATAATTATTATTATAGATATACACGTTCGTTTCTTACGTGTATTAGTAGTGTATGTGTTGTAAGACGTGTAGTGGCGGAGTATAGAAAAACGTAAGATGTGCTCCGGGCATTAGCAACTATCATCAGCATTAGTTGGCCATTTATGAGTATTTAAGTGAGCTATTTTCGAGGGTGTGTCTGTGTCTCAGATGTGGCCTAACGGTTTTGTGTGATTTTTACACGCCCAGGTAGAACTGAACGACGCTGGATAGTAATGGCTACCTTCAGACGCTTCGATCGTAGGGGTGACGTTTACAGAGAACAACGCCTGTCCCATGTTTTGGCCAATAAATTCAGATAATAAAAACAGATTCACCCTATTATTTCATCATATATTACCTGGCTGTTCCGGGTTTTCATGTTGTATATACCTGAACTCTAATAATTAGTCTGATTGTTATCAAGATTAGGTGATGTTTAAATGCTTCGCAGTAAATGAAGGAAGATCATAAGATATAAGACAAACATAGATCTGCGAACCACCCTAATTGCTCCATATTGTAACATAAATATATCGATTTCTGCATTTCTTCAACGACAACAAACATCTATGTATCGTCCCAGAAGTCAGAAGAACCCAATTATTGTGGTTGAATAACCCACAATGGCGAACGGCCGAGCTGTACTATAGATATACAAATGCATCAACGCAGGCAATGATTAAATCAGTATGTCTGTGTGAGCGCGACTCGTGTCAGGTGTTACAGTAACTAATTATATCGTATCGAACAAACAAACGGAAAAGAACAGCCGTAATAATAAAAACTTGTTATATTTAAGTTAAATAGGTGACTGTCTTGGATTTCGTATATCATAGGTATTATTTATCGAAGAAAAATGTTAGCAAACGTCCTAGCTAGCGTACGTTATAGTTGTTATTAGTGTTCAAGACTTGAAACTACGATGAAGAAGCTTTGTCACAGACATCACGAGGTGGACAGTGAGCTTCATGGAATCGCTAGTTGAAAAAAATGTGAAAACCATTCTCATCGTGGGTTTGTTGCGAGCGTCCGGGCCTATTGATGTCGATTATCGCACTAAGACGAAATTAAAATTACGCTCTGACAACGTTATGGTGATTAGTATGGCCTAGTGCTTCCTTGTTTTTGACGACTCTGGAAGACGACGTTATGTGTCTAGTTAGATCACATAGCGAAGTGTGCGATCTTCCTACGTCATAATGGTAATTACTATTTTTATAAAAAAAACTCACGTGTTTATATAGATACGATAATTAGCTTTCTGCTTCCCTTCGACGTATGAAAAATACGAACTAACCTGTGCCGAAATTTCTACAATTAAACTTCATTAATCCTATACGTCCAGGCTTCACGCCTAAATAGATTTTTCTCTTATACTCTTCAGATTACTACTAAGTAATGGCATATAAGTAGGACAAAAACGCAGTATCGGTTTTGCGGACCCGTTTTGCAAGCCCGTTAATATGCCCATATGACCCTGATATGCTCGTATGCTGAGCATTAGATTTGATCGGGTAAATGTAAAGTGTAGGCTGTTTTCCACTGTGTATTATATTACAAATTCATCTCTATCAAATCGGGCTAAATAAAACAAGCTTTATTGTCCGTTTATTTAGTTGCATATTAATTGGAAAGATTGGTTCTCAATGTGTACAAAGACTCTGTCCTTGCACTATATAATATTAAAATTATATATAGATAGCATTTCTTTTTAAGTGACTTGTCTTACGAGTAAATTTTTATAGATATATTTTTCTTTACGAAGCCTCTGGAGAACTAGGTTGAATTTTTCAACTGCCAGCTTCCACTCGACTGCGTTTGATACTCTTCACATCTGTTTCTTAGGCAGTCTTTACTAAAGAGTTAAACAGAAGTTGAAAATAATGCAGACCGGAGTTTTACATGAAGTTAAATGTGCAATTATAACAATATTCTATACTGTTCGAACACAATGGCCCTGCTAACATTAGGCAGTAACAGCGGTTGATGATGCACAAATGTTGATGATCTTTTGGCTCCGCACGCTGCTTTGTTAGCAGTTGTTTTCACAGTGACTCACCTCCCGGGGGTACACGCTACAGTTCCCTTTAGAGTAGCGTAACAGAGCGACTAAACGTTTCCAGTTGTACGTCCTATACCGCCGTGAGGCATTCGATTAGACGCTGACTCCCAGCATAAAATAGCATGTCAACGTGTCCCTCAAGTTCTTAAACTTAAAATTTCGTCGACGACCGCTGCAATTGCGTGCATCGACTTATGAAACTAATCTGCTAAGTCGCTTGTGAAGAGCCCGGTAGTGAAACAGTTACGAATAATAAAGAAAGGTCTCCGGCGGAAAAAGGTGAACTGCGGGGTAGGAAGTAACAAAGCCTGCTACCGTTCATTACCGTACCTGCTTGTTAAAGCTATTGCTACTGTTTAGCTATATGTCATGACTACCGCACAGAACGGCGCCAACAGCTAACGTTGCGCGACAACCATTAGGCGCTCACGATTAAAAAGTCTCAGTGTGCTAATATATAGAAGTTACTTTCTAATTACTGGTTTTTATGTATACTAGTTTGCGTAACGGTATCAACGACAAAGTGGGGTAACTTGACCCTGTAACGATTCAATAATAAAGTGGAAGAACAGAGGTTAAGATGAGATTAAAGTAGAATTCGGTTGACTTCATATTATATATACGAGGTCACTTATTTTTTGAGGTAGATATATATATATATACGAAGCAGCGGATTATGAATGGGCGACCCAATAGAGTAACGGGGTTCCTGGAAAGTAACAATGATGTAATCACTGCAATCGGGTCATGCGACCCGTGGTGGAGAATAACGGAATTATAGGTTAGGTTGGATGTAGCAAATCACTAAAACAAGTTAATGAGATGGCCGCACCAAAGTAACATTTTAAAGTAATTCAAAGTAAAAGTAATTGAATTGGAGAAGCAACAGTTGGATAATGGCCAACTGCAATATTCATCGAAGAAAATTAGCGCAGCAGACTCACCGGGAAAGCAAAAAGCAACTGGATAGTTAGTTGAGATCTCCAATGGAGCTATAGTTACACGAATGAAACTCGTTAAATAGACCTATGAACTGCGACAACATGATATAGTGTTATCGTGTCCAAAGTAGTTGTCGATCCCGGTTACATTGCTATACTGCACTTCATTAGCACGTGAGCCTTTGTCGTCCACCGAAGAAGTTATGATATCCAAAGAAATGCACCTATATGGCAGAACTCGGTCACTTAACATTATAACCGATGAAACCGGGAAGCGATCAGGTTCCACAATCAATGCGATGACAACAAACCCTGTGGCTAATCTAACCCAGAAGAGATTGTCTCTCCACTTTGGATCAATCGAGTCCTATGATGATGACTGTTTCAGATCTGTTTTCCATCGGCATTCGTACACGCCGGCCGGGCTCAACAGGCGACAATGTCACGTCGGCTCCCCTATGATGTCGCAAACCAAGTTCATGCCAAAGCCAGCGTCACAATCCCACCAAGAAGAAGCCATTCTTCTTACTCTCGGTTTCGGCCGAGCTGCCCCATTAATCAAATGCTGTCTAATATTATTACCTAACTGAAATAGTTTTACGCAGACCTTAGGCGCACTGTCGGCCATCTTTTTGTTTTTTGGTTTGTATCCTATATTTTTGGTGGATGCTTCTATCGCTATAAGGGAAGCCGTTATGTAGCTGGAGCTGATCCTTTGGCCTTGGCATTGTCTTGTGCCGGCGGTAACTAACCACAGTAACTGAGGTGTTGTACACATAAAGAAAATTCAAAATAGCTCTCCCAGCGAGATAAACCTACTGGTATCTTTCTTTAACTAAATCGCTCTTTCCATGGTGCATCTATCAGTTTGAATAACGCATGCTCAACTTAAAGATTACGTAACTTTATCTTTACTAGCTATGTTCTGAAAGAGCCTCATTGAGGAAACATTGAGAGAACAGCAATATAAAATAGAATAGATTAGATTTCGCAGATTTGAAATGAACATGTGCTTAAAGTTCGTTCAACTATAAATTCATTAATTAGTGTTATCATGCTTTTTTAAGGTGGCGAAAATTTAATAATAAGTCCATGAACAAGAGGTTTTGTCATATATATTAGACAGGTGTTTTTTTAAGGAAATTAGCTTTTCTGGCTAAATTATAGGAAGATGATAGAACATATTCCTCGCAGGATCCTTACGAAGGCAACACTTCGAAACTTGGCCAGGCTCAATTCAGATAAGCATGGATAGATGCGAACTCTTCAGAAAAAGCTCTTTGCAAGAAAGTAATGCTGTACATGTTACTTGCAAATTTTCTATACTGAAGTACAAGTTTGACTATTCGTACATAATGATGCACCTTTCTCACTCGTACGATTAGAGTTTTTCGCAGCAATACTAAGTGTAATTATGTATATGCACAAACATACAGATAATAATAAATATACATAAACATAAAATTCTGAAGCAATACTTTTTTACAATTAAAGCAGTAGTTATGCTAAAACGTACACAACTGATTATGATTGACGATTCTTTTAGCTGGAATATATTACGGTGTGTCTTTCTCTTCCATGTCGAGTTATTGGTCCCACGAAAACTATTACAAGCGACCAATCCGTCGCTCGGGGAAAGAACGTGTCATAAAAATAAAAAATTTACCCTATTGCAATTATCTCTATTGAATTTTAGAAAGTGACGAGGCTTATATATAGCGGAATTTTTTCTCAGTTAAAGAGCCAATATGACTGTGAATTTAGGACACGCAAGGTTAGGTCACCTCGTTATATCATATTTGTTCTCACTGCAAAAAATCTGTTAAGGACGGGCCGATCTTATGCATCCTTATGCATGACTTAAAAGAAAATATGTTAATTTCAGCCAAACTGGGTGGAGTGATTACTTTTACCCACATAAAAATACCCGTAAAATTTTATCAGATAGATTTCGATCGGTGCCGATAGGACATTTCTGTCAAATAGCTAATATAACTGGAGTTATAGTCTTCACCATATAGGACAGAGTGCTGAAAATAGTAAGTATCTGTAATTAGTTGTATATATTTAAATACTTTAATATGTTGAATGCAATTCAGATACACAAAATAACTTGATATCAATCATGAGTATCAATTTATCTCAAAAAGATGCAACACCATTTTTGAATGGTAGTAGATATAATATCTCAACTATTATGATCAGTGGTCATTTTATAATAATAATAATAATAAATAGTAATATTGTGTACTTTTTAGAATTAATAATGTATGTTTATTTCGAAAATGTCATGTTTATTATATGAAAGCCGTATAGTTATGTTAGGTAAGGAATAAATATTAGTCGCAGAAACTAAAATGATTCTATATTACGACCACAGATACAGTTGTATCTATAATGCGGATTCAAGTCATATGGGTGTGATTGAGGATAGTTTATAACAAGTTCAATAATACGGAAACGCTTACTTTCATTATAATGTTCGAGTCCGCGTGGCTTGATCTAAATGTTAAAACGACTCGATACGTAAATAAGAATCCGCTTCCAAACTAAACTGTTTTCGTTACCTTACGGTAAAATTCCGTTGCATCGCTTAATTGATCATGACAAAAAACGATCAGAAAGCTGAAGTACCGTTAGTCCTGCGGATATTGTCCTCGTTATTTAATTCGTGACTATAAAGAATAGAGTAGTGATGGCTGCATTACTATGATTTTTCACACGGCACATTTTGGCGTATTACTACGCTTGCGGATCTTTTCTTAATTCCATATTGGTACGTTCTGTTTCATTTTTGTGGCCGATACTAAAACACGTTCAGCGTTGCATTTCTAATATGTTCCTCACGATGTTCTGTACAAAAAAGAGATGAGTCTCTTCGAGTCACTTGATTAGAATTAAAATTGTTGGTGATTGTTGCTTGTTTTTTAGACGACTCTGACAGATTTTTCATTCGCATAGAAAGGATACCTATAGACTGTGCTCGTTTAGAACGTTCATCACAGCTAAAGTTTTTTTCGTTTTGGGGATTTATATGTCTTGTACGTTCCCTAATTGCCTACCTAAATCTCAATTGAGATTCGTCGTCAACAAAGTTATCAGTATGAAACAACATAGGGGTCCGTCTTCTCGAGCAGTGGCAAATACACAAACAAACTGAATGATAAAAGGCGTTCCATATTTTTTTTTGATCTGCTCTGACGTCGCCGCGTACATGCGTAAATATGCCTTTTTGATTGTTTACCTATCATTGATGTTGTTTTTAGTTATTATATTGTCTGTTTATTACTGTACAAGGCGAATTGCATGTTGGTTATGTTGGTAAGAATCTGCTATTTCATGCAGTACGCAGAACATCACATACATTGATGGACAGATCTTTTGTATAAGCATTACATTATTATAATAAAAAGTAAAAAAAAAAACAGACAAACTTTTGTCATATTATTGCGTTCATATCACGTTCATACATTAATACTGCGATTCAGCGATCGCCAAGTTATAGCGCCGTGCTTTAGTCAACCTACCATGGTAGCACTTACTAACAGCTCTGTGAAGTGAGGTTACAAAAGTATTGGTTAAAAACTACGTTCTGATCAAGGAATAAGACATTTTGCCGGATACGCATCTATGAATGCGTGAGGCCTCACATTTTTCCGCGGAAAGAGATTTGCTTGCCACACTAGCTACTGACTAATGGTAAGAGAAACGCTGTCGAAGCGAATTGAACGACTTCAATTATACGCCCACGTATATATATATATATATATATATATATATATATATATCCTATATATATATATATATAGGATGATCAATGAGAACCCTTGTCACGGTTATTACAGGCCAAACTGTCGCTGACCAACATAGTAGTCCTTCGCAAATCTAACAGGCACGAACGTTGCGTGGAACTTGGATAGAAGCCGGAAACTTAGCTATCACAGAAGTGCGCCGTGTTGCTGAGTTTTCTCCGCTACCTGTGTCTGCTATCGAAAACACCGAGTCCCCGCTTACTCGCCTGTCTCATAGGCGGATTTCCAGATATCCGAGAGGCAAACAGATGAATGAAAACGGTAGAACAGCATTAGTGGAAGGGTGGCGTGTTTAATTAGGATCCAACACTGAAAGCAAAATTAATATTCGAGTAAATAATACAGTTGCAACACCAGAACTAAATTTCACTTTGTTGCTTGTGATTGCTACTTGTAGCCCTAAATGATCCTGTACGATATGTCCTGAGAGCGAAGGAATTAACATTGCACATATCAAACACTATGACACTCCCTTAAGCTCGAGCCGAATATGTAGGGCAAGGCATCCTTAACGAACTGTTTACCTTAGCGCACCTTATCCGCTATTCTTGGTAAAGAGATAGTCCTTTCTAGAACATAACAATAGATCTATCATGATGAAGAGTAGTACATGGTTTTCGGATTTTGAGCAAGGATCAGTCGTTATATAATTCTCCAACTCCAGGTGCTTTGCCACGCAAAGTAGACTTACACTCTTTCCGAAGATTAACTCAGCGCTTTCACTTTCGTGTTGGGTGTCTGTTTTAAATGTGGTGGTTACCCACATGGTAATATTACAGATGATGAGAAAGGTAACCAGTTCACGGCCAGGTTTCAGAAACTGATGCCTCCGTTGGTTACTACACCGTCGCAAACCGTCTGACAGAAAGAGTGTTTGAAGCTGAAAATGAAAAGCAAATGGGTAGGGAAAAGATGTTTATCTAAACGCTCGTTAAGATCAATATGGTGGCGCGCGTTTGTCTACGAAGCCTGAAGACACGTGAGATAGTTTGAATTCAAAACCTCGCAGAAACACACCTTATTTCGCGCTGGGGGCCCAGCCGATTGGAGGTTACAGATTCCACCCTGCAAGCCCTCCGTAATGGCGTATACGAATCTCGTATTATCTGAATAGACGGCTGGAGTAACGCACTGATACGGTTCTTTGAAGGGGTTCTCTATATACGAAATGAGATATTTTGTGAAGCCGTTCTATGTGCATATTTCCAAGGCCTTGCTTACCTTTATAGCGCCTAAGAAAAACACAAATATACCGCCTATAATTATTCAGCTAACAGCCTGCAATTTCGACAAACTTGTTCTGTCTTGCTTTCAATCGCTACTTATCGGTATTCTTTGGCGAACTTTAGGTTAGCAAGATTGAAAAAAATTTGAGGGTTAAAGTTTACGAAAAGGAAATTTTTTGAGAACTTACCACGACCTGTATTACGGTGATAACGTTACTACTGACTCGCGACAGTTTCTGTGAGTAGACGTCAGCTATCATCCTTGAACGAACAAATTATAATCATACTTGTGAGATATAATTATTTTAGAATTTATTATCTTTAAATGCCGTATAAGGATCTCCTTGGAACAACGACAATCCAGCTTCGGTGCCTATTGGGGTTCTTATCTAAACCTCAGCACCTTTCGTTTACGTACTTCGAGATACCTCCGTTCAAATAAGTCGGCTTCTCCCGAACTGTGCGCTAGGCCTTATTTGTTCTATGCACTAACCAACAACATCGCAAAAACAATTTGGAAAGTTATGGGTTGTATAGGTCACAAAAAGTATCGGTAGGATGCGTGATCTAATTTTAGACAATCTACCTGAAAATAATTTTTTGCCGTATATTTTTTTTATTTTAGTTTCCATACGTGGAAAGCAGATTTCTTGGTAATTTTCGTATTCAACTTAGCTAGTTTACATTCAGTCGACGAATTTTTTCTTCCAAGCTAGCTTGTATGAGGATCCGGCAGACATTTCCCATCCAAGAAAATCGTATGTATATCTCTAGCTGAACGAGTACTTACGACATGAAGAAGTAGAGAAAGAAGAACGGTAGAGGTACGTAGAGGAGTACGTCGTCAAGCAGCGTGATTGGGTGCACGCTGAAGTCAAGCGTCCGTATTTGCCAGTACGCCCAACAGACCGCCAGTAAAGCGACAATCACGAGAATGTTGTCTTGTACCAGGAATATCATTAGCTCCGCACGCCGAAAACGTTCCTGCACCAGCACGACCTGCGGGGAACCCTCGTTGGAACGTTGGGCCTCCTGTAAATTTCCGTGAGTTGTCTACCAGGGGTTAAGCTGGGGGATGGGTGAGCTAAGCGTGTGCTTCTGGGTAGCGGATGACTACGTGCATGATACCCAAAGCGACTTGTGAATGGATAAGTACATTCGGCCAAAGTAAACTTCAGCCTTTCATATTAAACAGATTATATCTCTTATATATATAAACAGGGCGCATATCAATATCGCAACTAACATACCATTTATATATATATATAAACGAACTAAGTTGCACCGACTAAGTTGGGATTTGTTCTTATATCTTATTTTTAAGGACAAAATTGATATGTCAAGGATTTTTTTGCACAAACTAAAAGTATTTTTGGCAATCATGTCTATTCGCGCAAACGACTCGCTAGACGCTTCCATAATAGTTGTTCTTTAATTGGCAAACAACAGCATTCGTGCGCATAAGGCTATCCAAATACGCCGTGGATAAAAATACAGGAAGATTCAATTCTAGATCGTTGTCCCAAAAAATCGAGCGCTCAAAATGGTCTAAAAGGTGTAAAAAAATCTAAAAAACTATAACCGATTTTAGTCTGTTTGGACAACCACGTAAAAAACACTCTCCTTTCAAAGATGCTAACTTCTCTGTCAAGAATATGTAATCAGCAATAGCAGTTTAGCCATAGATTTTCGAAGCTTTTAATTTTAAATCCTATTTAAAATGTTTTAGTATACGTCAGAAAGATCTTTTTTGAATTTTTTGAGAATCCAATGAAAATTGACGATATAATGATACATGTAAATCGCCAGCTTCAAACAAAGAACAAAGCTTTTAATTTTGCTAGAGCTTCGTCTCATGTGTTTAGATTGGATAATGGGTCTGATTTACGCTCAAATTCTGATAACGACGCACTATTTCCGTCATGGCTGCAAGTATGTTTACATGCTTCTTGGAACAAACTTTTAGCAAGTACATATATCTATATATATTTGATATAATCTGTTTTGGTTCTTTGGCTATAGTTGCGGGCGAGTACTTGAAACGTAGCTAACGAACCTGGGCAATGACAAGAGCTACCACCGATACGAGAAGTAAGAAGAGACCGGCAAATAGGCCTTTATTTGATGCATGGCAATCGGCGCTTACGACAAGATTGCTTTGATAGCGGGCGTCCTGACCCGTTGTACAGATTGATTCACGTCGTATCTGAATTTCAGGACCTGCTCACCGGAAATTCGACAGAATACACATTATGTAAATTATACCGCGTTCATGCCGCGTCAAAGTATTAAATCAAAAGGTACAGACAACTGAATAATTATATATATATACACACACTAAGCATATGTTCTAGCAAAGTTTTTTGTTACAAAGATATTATGTCCTATCATTGTACGCTAGCTGGTATGATCAGCTTTCTGTGATCCATCAGAAACTTAGGCACTTGAACCTTTCGCTTAACATAAATCTAACGCTGGTCACAAACCTCTTCCGATGTTCTGCCAAACGATAAACCAGACGCCGGCTAGGATAATGTTGTATTCAACAGTAAATGGCTGTAAAAAGCCCGTGATATTCGAACCATGATGATCTTTGCCGTGGTGTCCTGAATTTCCGCCAGTATCGTGGCGCGTATCATGCCCCGAGTGTACGGCACGTTCCTCACGCTGACTCACCGCATGGTGGGTCGGCGTATAGCTGGTGTGATTTGACAACGAATTGCTCCTGTTTCAAAGACGGGGTAGCGTAACCAAGACGAGCAAGTTAACCTGACTTAAAATTATTGTATGATAAGTTACAGTGCTTGTTTTTGTTACGTGTCCATTTTTAAAGCATAAGACGGTAACACACGCACAAAGCGCATTATGCAATCATATATATTATCCGTTTAAATGCCCAACCTTGTCGCCTTCAAGCCGAATGATCGTTTCCCCAATTTAATGAACATGGTGAGGCCCGACAGCAAAACTCAAGACTGCATGGGTTTAAACGAGCTAGTTCTGGCTATATCGTGGCACAGGTAGAGGTAACGCTTCGGACGAACGATTCAGGAAAACGTTCGTTTCGGTCCGTTCGGATCTTTTGAGCTTAAATATCCTTAAATGCTTTCATCTACGTTTCAAAAAGGTAGCTTACGCAACTAATCGTTGGAAGATGAAAAATGATTTTACGTAGTTTTATGATGTGGATGAGATACGTGGACCTACATGTCCAACATTAGTACTTTGTGTATAGGGTGCACCAGAATACGTGCTACTGTCGATTAGTCGGTCATATATGGCTGTTTATACGATTGAAAATAGATCGAAATTTCCTAAGCGTAGCTACGCATCTTAAATTACTGTCAATAGTACATTAGTAAGTAACTGTATAGAAGTGACGCTTTCTCTCAACGTAATCTTTGAAATAAACTGAAATTACTGTGTAAATTGAATCTACCAGGGACGTGCTGTAGAACCCGCCACATCAGTCAATCATCGGTTTATTATATACTCAAAAATAGGTTAGATGACACAACAGGCAACCGAATACAAAATCTACTGAAATATACTAGTTGCGTTTTCATGCTATTGCTACTATCATTGACGTAATCATCGTTTTGGTCGTCGACATGACGGTAAAATAGTACACAAAAAAATAGACAAATTTGCTAGTCATGACAAAAACGGTCGGAACATTTACGTATCAGGACAGTCCAGCCTAATTGCTGATACCCTAGCCGAAACTCTTGCCTTCTAGCTAAACAACAAATAAAACAAATAGCATCACAATGTCTTTTCAATTTTTTTTTTCAAATGGGATTTTTTTCTTCAATTTTTAAATTTAATGGGATGAGACGGTAATAACGGCAAAACCAAGTAGCTAAACTTTATTCCAGTGGTGCAGAATTAACGAATTATAACGGTTAACAGAAGCAATTGCAGATCGTATTGATGACGGTCAAAGTGTATCAATAGTATGAGAAAGCAGTTCGTCCATTTTTTAAATCAGCCTTGAGAGAAAATTATTTTTCACCACAAGGATTTATAATGTATGTAGCAATTTTATCAAGTACAACAAGAAACTACACTATTATTCATTTTGAAACTGGGCTCGAACTGTCTGTTTGAAGACAGCGTTAGATCAATTGATTTATGCGCTGAATATATTCATTAGATATTTATTACGTCCATAAAATTGTCCTTATTTGAAATATCAGAAGGGTAACATCGACAGGCACCGACTACGGCAGCAATACTAAAAGACAGCCCAGAAATTCTGATGATGTGTTAATTCTCGTGTTTAGACACATACATAAGTGTAAACCGGAAGTCAACGTTAATATGTGGGGTAACGGGAAGTGTACGCGGTGATGTATATAGCTTTTTCGATAGATGGTTTCTGACGCGCCAATGGCCAAAAAGAGAGGGCAACATGATAACTTTACGGCTTCTGCACATAGGAGCTCAATATAAGGCCATGATAAATTTGACATCAAGCTGTACTAAAATGAACGCATTCAAAACGTAACGCTGCTTCGCCCGAAGAAGATATGGATACGTCCACATGGTGGTCTTCGAACAAAACGAACAGATACATAAAAATCGCTAATCAACAAATAGCTATATGTTGCTACCGCCACGATTACCATAACCACCATGGTCATAAAACGCCAACCAATTTATAAATATCTGCAAGATATCCCCACAACGCCAGAATGAAGTAAGATTTAGACAGGAAAGATATCTGTAAATACGGGTGTGCTTGCGGAACGGCTCTTAGCGGGACCCGTAACACATTTATATAACAGAGTCGATATTGACATTTTTCGATGCTATCAAACAGCTTGCTTATGGATTCATATATAAATTGAGCTGAACTGCAAGTATCAAAGTGGTGGGCAGCCTTATTGACCTACAATTAATTTCATTGTGATGGGGTAACGTTATAAAGAACAAAAATTGTAGAAAAAACAGTGACTATTAACTGTGCTTCAGATATATGGAAAGTTTTTAATAGGGAGAAGAGATGGACTCACCCATGAATGGCTTCGCTGACAGCGGTAACCAGGCTAACAACAAGTGAGTCGTTACCGTGATGACTGAGAAGATGACCGCGGCTCATTTCAGAAGAATCGTGTTCAGCGTGCTTGTATTCTTCGACTATTGAGAAAAACCAAAAGTAGAGCGACGTAGCAATCAGATGCATTGCCCCAAACCGCGCAATATGCCTGGAGTGGTTGATGACAATCTGCAAAAGGACGTTTATTTTCACAGCAGGATAACTAGTTTAGGATGCCTTGTGGAAATAGAAAACGACAGGAATTAATCGCTTACAATACCAGTGTACGCAATGTGTTTATGTACTATGTAGAAGTTGAATATCCGACACGAAATGTTACTTATTTTAATATTCTCTGATTTCTGTAAGCTTTATCGAAAAAAGAAAATGCTCCGATTCTGTCCGCTTTTCCAGACATTTGGTTAGATAGTCAGAGAACGCTGCGAATCTCAACAAAGGTAGCCCCATCACCGTGGCGGGACTGAAGCTCTATCAGCATTACACGTACTCAAAACAGCTAGCATCTTACGTATGACGGCAAGGATTAAGTAAATACACTGTTCGAATTGTCATACCGACGAAACGACAAATATTTTATACGGTCCAGTTACGTTCAGGCCATTGGGCGGGTGCCTTATGCAGTAATAACTTATGGTATTTGACGTGTTAGAGGCTGCGAACTGATGCCTTCGATTTCAGGTAACGCTGATTCGTAGCCGGGAAACTCAGGAAGTTCACAAAAACATAAAATTAGCCCTCGTGTTACAACACTATGTGTTTACGTAAAAGATGGGTGGATTTTAACATGGTATGATACTTTACTGGCAATCATTTCGCCGGCTCAGTGCAAACCGTGATTATGACGCTTGAAACGCCATGAAAATATTGAAGAAATATTTCTCTTCATTTGTTTTTACGCGCTGTCTGGCTGTAAATGCTAAAAAAACAAAAGTATCTAATACGCTAGATCAGCACCAGTATCAGGAATGCGCCTCAATATCGGTAAACAAAAAGGCGAAAGCAAAATGGCACATACATCTAATTTTATAATATTAATCACAGTTAGACGTGCTTGTCAATATTGCCTTTTATGCATCTTGGGTCACTGGTAGAAAACCGAAACATGCGATCCGCTTCCTCCGAAATCGGAAACATGCGTCAGCACGAATTAGAGTGAAGAGCGGCTTTCGGAACGTTCCTCGATCTTTGAAACTTTCAACAGTGAACACGTGTTTCGCTAAATGCCCAGCTGAATAACGACCAGTTATAAGAACCGGTAAAAAAGATCTTAACATCTTACGCACACACAGTAGAGCTATCGATCTGAAAATTTTTCGATTGCTGAGGAGTATTCAATCATTTTATATTAGTCAGTTTTACGTTGCTCATTGTCCTCTTTTGAGAATCACATACATCAAAATCTAAGCGTTAATATCCGCTAATATATATATATGTCCATATAATAAGAGTTCGTTCTGCGAAGACATACATTGGAGTACTTGAAGGCCATGAAGAGTTGATAAAATGCATAAATGGGTCGCAGCACGTGGAAGACGACTCCAAGAACATTATTCGTATGTGCACCGTCTGTACAGACCAGCTGAATGTACTGTTCGAGCTGAAGACCTTCGTTAATCAGGTGGCAGAAACAAAATACTGAAAGGACATAAGGCATTGACTGTTTATTTGTGTCTGGAGGCCTCCTGCGGACAAATTGTTAAGCAATAGTAATTAATCATAATTCCTAGCTGTCGCTACGATCCGGAACCGTAAGGCACGGGGGCTATTTGAGCGGGATATGTATAGAGAAGCTTTGTACTCGTACTAATGCTGTACGCTCGGCAGGTGCATCAGTTCTTATGTGTACAATTATATACATATATATATATATATGTGTGTATAAATAGTAATAATTATTATGATGCATGAACAAAATTAACAATAGTTATCAAGATAGTCAATAGTCATTTTGACAAATGACATTCTGCTGGGGGTATTAATATAGTTAAAATCCTAATTTGGATTGGGAACAATTTCACTTATAGCGGTGACAGTTGTATGAGGTAAATGGCTGCGAGCTCTTGACACTAGAAAATCTTGCCGTCTCTCTTCCGTCAATGTATATACCAGATTATTTATTCATTTTGATTCTAACTCAGCCTATGAGACCGGCTTCGCTGATAGGGTTGTGTTTGGGCCAGGCGTAATACACTGATCCTTTTCTTTAAAGTTTAGCACAAGCTCGAAACAAGGTGTTTCAATAAATCGTCACGACACAGAGCTGTACTTCGAAAAAGTCGACGTAGACAAACCTAGCTAAAAGTACCAGTGCATTTAAAGTGTTTGGTACTCTTATGTGATGTATTGTCACATATAGATCGATTGCGCATATTTCAGAGGTGTTGATGGAGCTTCCAACTTGAATACAGCGTCATGTAATCTGGGTACTTAAAACTACGACTTCAACATGCGAAGTTCTACAAGTATCGTTCCCTAATCGTACAGAAAAAAAAAGCGTGCTTTCGATGAAGATCTCAAAAAAGCCAGAAGACTTTTAAGTTAACAGCTGTTGAAACAGACATAGGTCAGTGTCTATGCCAGACTAAATGAGCCAATTATATACAAACGGTAAAAATGTTAATACTCTTGCACGTGACCGGCCATCATTCCTATAGACGAATCAAACGGATAATGTATACACTATGTATATGTGTGAAACAGGAATTAATTCGTATATTCCATGATTTTAGTGCGTCGAAGAATAGGCTATATGATATTAAAAATCGACGTTTTGGCGTTGTATCATTTTAATTAAAAACAATATACTCAGTCTATCCACGGACAAGCCTGTTCATCTCATTGTTCTGTAGATAACCGGTATATCGGTTCTCTCAATTCGATATTTTTACGTATTTTCTGCGATAAAGGGCATCCAATCACCGAGACAATTCGTTTAATCGAAGCAGAAATAATAGCAGCAAGAAGCACTGCTAGTTATAGAAGCCGGTGAGTTCACTCATGCTCAGCGAAACACAAAAATCTACCTATCTATGAAAAACTATTCGGTGTCTGCTAGTTCTTTTTTATCTAGGCACCCGTAAGTATTCGACTTTTCTCCAAATTAGGTTTTATGTAACAATCTGATAATGGTGATTATATGTATGACGAACGGTGAAGATGTCCGCCGGTAAGCTAGCCATTTCAATACGAAAACTATATCTGTCTATTATACGTGCGAAGACGTACGGCACGTCCGTTGCATGTAAAAGATTCCATATCTCTATTACTGAGACCTTCATTAAAGAGGACTCATCGCACAGAGCCGATAATCGGTCAAACAAAAATGCCCTTTGAGCAAAGAAGACAAAAGGCCTCCTTGTTTCGAAGTAGAGCCTTCGATAGTAAGGACAAAACTATCGGATCCAGTGATAGGAATCACTGATGTTACTTTCAACGTATCGTTGGTATGTTTCATATTTGAAATGCGTTGTTTTTTTGTACAAAGCCCGTATTACTTCTTTGGATGAGCTTTTTCTTTAACACTTGATTTCGAATAATGTATAAAGTACTACTATTCATTTGCATTACTCACGATAGCGAACGGAGCTGTTAAAAACGTACAATGAGCTACAAAGAAAATGACTGCCTACTATTATCCAAGAATTAGATAATTAACGGTAGGTAATTCAAGGTCCTGAAATAAGACCAGTAGGAGCCAAAGAATTTAGCACCTAGCATTTATCCTATCGCCTAAATTAAAGAAGAGACGAAGGTACTCAAAATCGACTGGAAGCGGAGGCGAACGGGATCAAAAACATTTAGACAGGTCAAGCAAAAGCATGTTCCCTTTAAAACTTCCAGACATTGGTGCGTACTTAATTTTTGCGTCCTTTAGTCCTTAAAATCGCAGGCCACATATACAGAAACCAAATACATGTTTGAGACTTGAATGCATGTCTTGAAATAAATATTCTCATGTAACGGACAATAAATTAATATTCAGTAATGAAACAGGTAACATGGGCCAATGTTCCATCTATTCAACTACAGTTACAGTACAACAGGGTCGTATCGCATAAAGAAGGCGATGAGCAAAACCGGCCAGTGGACATGGCATTGAACTTCAACATTAAGAATGCAAATAGGCAAAAATTCGGCTGCATGATCAGAAATCTGAGAAAGATCCGATCGTCATTAATGCTAGCGTCGCTGTTTGTCTAATCGATCGATGGATCGCTCTCGACCGAAGAACATTGAACAAGATGAATTCCCTACGGTATCACTCAACTGCAATAGACGCGATGGCTTTTTGACGAAGATAACAATGGCTGAAAGTAAAGACAGCCGCAGTAAAGTCGATGACGTTGTAGATATGCGAGTAACATTCTCTCTTTATGATTGTATGCGAGCAACTGATCAGAGGCCATCTTGTTTTGATTTGGATTCAGCCCTCTGAGAAGCCTAGATGACTTTCTTTCTCATTTGAACAACACAGAAAGCGTCGTAGTACTATAAAAGACATGTACTATTGCGCGAGAATTATGCAGTACTATCTTGCTGTTAAACAAATTTTAGGCAACTGAAATACTATCGATGAAACTATGGCCGTCAATAGCTTTCCTCGTTTATGGCTAGTTCAATGTAATGTTTTCTTGCATGGTATACTAGATAACTACTTGTATTTTCAGTCCATTTTTTGTTAGTTTCCATCAGTTATTTTCCAGTCTCGTTACTGATTTATCTTTGACTTACTCCACAGTGGCTTGCGCCAACCTAGTTTTACAATTCTAGCTGTTAGCGGGTATTCGTGTCGCTGACCCTATATTCCTTTATGCCTTGTTCTCGTAATTAAATTGAGGTTCAGTTTGGTTGCTGAACGCCTTTATTTTCGTGTTGAATCGCGCCAAGACGAGCTGCTCGTATGAGGGCTGGCTCCCTCTGGACTTATGAAATAGAGCTAATCTGATAACAGGAACGTCAGGGGCTGCGGGGGTGGCGATCTGCATAAGACGTGGCATTCAGCTAAAGATAATAAATCGCCTGCTTAAGATATGGGACTAAAGGGAATAGGCTGACGCAGCAGCGGCGGCAACGTGGAGTCAAAGTAGAAAAATCTTTTTTTCAGAAGGGGTCGAAGTTCTTCAGTCTGCAAAAAGTCCGATGTCTGATTGACCTTGTCGACAATTGGTTCTTTTCTCATTGAAATTCAACACAGGAATATTGGTGAGACTTGGATAAGAAAGGCGTAAGCAGTTGAACGAGGAGAAAGACATCGCAGATGTTCTGGTGATAACGGCTGATATGGAGGGCTGAACGGACGCGTTGCGTCGTTAATATCGCCCAGCACATAAATGTCATATAATCACCGCAACTAACATAAACACCGTTGATATATATACGTATATATATGGTGTGCTATATATAGATAAACAAATGCTTGTTTATCTTCTACATATGAGGTTCCGTTTACGAGCAATACGCTGCATATCTACTCGACTTCAACAGAACTTTCAAAGAAGAAAGGATATATCGTCGAATGATATCTGATAGACAACGCTACCAATATATATAGTTACTATATGTTCTTTTAGCGTCAATAAGTTAATGTTCAGTACAGTTAACTTAGTAGCACCGAGAGAACATAACTCGCGTTTAATACAGTGGGTTCCGCCGGCAAACATAATTGCAGCCGGATCACTTGAGGATTTACAGCAAAAAAATTCAAATTGTATTTCAAGAAGGACAAAGCAGTTTCGAAATAAAGCGCGAATTTTCAAAAGAAATTGCAGTTAGCTACTGCTAGCTAATTTTATTCACATATAACATATAAATTGCAAAAGAGTATCTATACTCTTTTGCTTTTTTTGATTTTTTCCTTGCCGCGCGTGTTAAAAATGATTTCCTACCTAATGGCTACCGATGGGTTACTGGTTTGCAAAGTGCAGCAAATGTGTAATCCTTTCGAAGTGATCAGTTTTGGCCTAGATTTTAGATTTAAGGTGTCCTCACAAGAAAGATCCACTGGCGATAAGTTTGGGGGCTGAACAGAGTAGTACCTTTTTGTCCGACCCATCTGTCCGAAAGACCTGCTCCTACGTCAAGATGATGGTATACAGGTGCTTCGTCCTGCTAAAAAAAATTCGACGTCTTCACTAAGGTCCTTCCGAATACGTAACGTAATGAGTTGTTATGGAGTACACTCAAATAACTGGCACCAGTCACTGTATTATGAAAAAAGAATGGTCTAGTTAAATTACAGTGGACATATTGTTTTGGAATAAACTACATAGGTAATGTCGCTAAGCGACGTCTAAATAGACCTTAACGAGACTTTGGGCGATTCTGTTTGTCTTTGATTGAGTTCAACGGCATGTGTCGAACGTAGCCCGATCTGTAACCCACGCCATCTACCATATACGACCCTAGGAACCTGTTGCAGAATGAGGATGACGGTCGACGTTGGATGCGCTTTTACATTTCGTCATTTAGATGCAATTCATATTTACAATTTAGTTATGACCTAAATTTAACGAATATATGAAAACGGCAATTTACGTTTTCTCAGTCAGTAACGTTGGGTAAACCTCAACGTCTACTACCAGCCAGCTACTTTAGCATAGATTAATCGCCTTTATCGAATGAGTAAGGATTTAGAACCATGCACTTACCAACCATTCCGCCTTTAAGGTAAAAGCTACCGCTGTGGCGTCCCTCGAGAAACCATAGCTGAGGCTGAAGATTCCGTTTTGCTTGCTGTTTAAATACACTCGCTGTCGAGTGCATATAAAGATTCCCCTGACTTGGCCTTGTTCGAGATCGTACCTTACCAATACGACGACATATGGTTAGGTTAAACGGCATACTAACTAATAAGATCACTCAAGACTTTCATTGTAGTCATTGGCCCTATCGCACGACGTGCGACCGGGCATAACAAGAAGATCGAACAATTTTATCTTGAGAACTTTTCTATCTGCAGCACAGTATTTGATTGTGTTCAGTAACGCTGTCTATTTACCCCTTAGACAATACCCCGTCGAACGGATGATTCAGCTGACACGTCAGAGCTGATTAAAACAGCAATTTCCACATTCACCGTATACTAATCAATCAACCAACCTGTCTACTGGCGGAGTTCTTGTACCATAAAATGTCAATGTGCAGAGCAAACAGCCAGCCTATTCCAATAAGGGAAACGAGAATACTGAAGATTTTCACCGAGTGATTCCTTTCCTAGAACGACAAAAATGAAATTAGACATATTAGAGATTTTCCATATCGAGTGATCCATTCTCGGCATTCACCACGAGAGACAGCTGAGCACGTCTACCTACGTTTTTCTGCGAAGACAAAAGATGTGCATTTTTTAGACGCTGACAATATGCAGTGGCATTTTTAGAATGCATCTTAGTAAGTAGGTTTACTGTGTGGAACTTTACGGAGATTCCTGTGTATTCATCATCCTGAAATCTGTTAATTCTGAGATACGAGAGGACGTATGACGCCTCCACAACGACAGTCAGTTTAAAATGTGAATCGCTAAAAATTCCGCCCTCTAAATTAGGTCTCTAGACAAAGTTTATCTAATCCTATTTAGGTTTATGAAACACTGCGGGAATACGGGATTGTACCGATGCTCGACATGTAATTAGCAACATACTGACGAAGTAGACTAATCGTTGAAATGCATAATATAGGAGTGTGGAGAATTCTACATCATTAGATATTTCCAGTTACATCACACAACAGCAACGAGTGACAAAGACTAGATAATAATAGAAAAAGAATATAGCGTAAGTGGCAACCATTAGCTTCGGGGTTGGCATTAAGCAAAACGACGGGCTTTCAAAACTCGACAGAAATAGATTGGCTCATGCCTACACACGTCATGCAAGCAGAAAAGTTACAGTAGATACCTACTAGCGGTACCTGCAGTTGGAACGGTTTCTTTTTAGTATAGCGCTCAACGGACTGGTATTTTCAGAGTGGCCAAATTCTATTGAGGGTTGGTGTAGCCAAGAAAGCCCTCGTTTCAGCCACTATTTGCTGTGAATAGCTGTCTTGTCAATACGTCTTTCTTCTCCCCCTTTCCAGCCTGCTCATCCCATCTTTTCTGTCTTTCCAGACTCTGGATGTATACACTGGCTTTCTTAATACATCCGCCGACCAACGCATTTGCCTACCGTCTACCACAAGGACGTCGACAGTAGCAGGCCGTGTCTTTTCAGTGTAGCCTAATTTTTTTTCTAGCGCACGGTCCCATCCACTTTCTTCGTACATTCTAACGACGACACTTCTGCCATGGCGTTAGGTCACGCTCCGCTCTGCCCCCTTTGCCCGCTTCTCGTTGCCTCCTAAGTCTCTCCCTATCTTGCGCCTTCTTTCTTGTATGTGAGGTGGCCGATATCAGGTTATTGAGTTTTCACGGGAGGATCCTAGGGAATAAAGAAGGGCTTGACTCTAGCCAGTCTCACTTAAATTTAGCTCCACGTTCGGCGGTACGCTGACGCGCGCTGGCCTAACCAACTCCCCCATTCTTTGTGTCTTCCTCTGTCCTTCTTTTTTCAGTCACCATTTTTCACTGAAGCTCGTTCTCTGTCTGCAACCCTTTACCTAACACTCGTGCGTGCATAGCGACATGCAGATCCCGCCTTCTCTTTTAGTGTATGCCGGCGCACATTGGTAGATAACGATTGCCCGTTCACCATATTTGCTGCTGCTGCTGCTGCTGCTACTCGACAGATAGCAGCGGCAGCGTTAACGGCAAAAACTCACCCCATGCTCGTGGCGCTTTTCGAGGACGCTCTCGGTGGCGCAGAATGTTGAACCCATACAGACAAGGAAAACACAGTAGATCGTGCTTAGCATTGAGCTCAGGTATTTTCTGCAAATTGAATGTACGTGAACCGAACGAGTGAACAAATGCAGAATAAAACAGACAATAACGAAATTCACCGGTAACAGAACAAGGAAAAGAGTTACCTAACGAAAAGACAACGTAAAGATGGTCTAAAACAAACATACAAAACGAATAATTACATTTTAATAGTGAATGATAAAAATAGGGTGATTATTGCCTGTCCAAACCAAATGGGGGGTAGTCATGATTTTTTTCCACGTGCGTTTGTCCATCGACCCTGCAAAGGTGCCCTTAAAATCCCCGATATTGAAACTATCTCTTCTAATTTAGCACCAATCGAATCTCATCGTGATTTTTATTGAAGTACTTTCGACACGACTATCGTTATACTACATAATTGCATGCCAGAAAAGCTTAAAGTGCGACGTACCTTGCTCTTTCGACACGTACAGGACGTCGCATTTATAAGCATGATGTTCCGATAGTGTAATAACAGACCAACAGTTCATCTAAATAGACCCTAAAATAACGTGTCTACACTATTTTGGGGGTCAGTCTGCAGGCTAACGTAAGCAAGCTTTCTTCCGTATTAGAGGGCCGTGATCATTCGTCGAAATAGACTGTGCTAGAAGGATGTTTTTACAAACGCACTTCAACAAGTTTTTTAGCCGGCGTTCAGGGTCAATCGAAGTTTTGTTACTTGTGACACGATTGAATCAGACTGATAGCAGAAATTCAATGTATGTTAGAGTACCACAATTCTTGCTTACAATGATTCGTTGAAGTTGAGAACAGGCAAAAGATAATTCTAGCTCTTAACTGGTTTGAGTAAAAGCTTATTCTCTTTTTCCCTTGCATATTGTAAATGGTGCAGAAGGACGAGGTAAAGGACAGCCTAGCCGTTTGTATGTACTCCTTATAGAAACTCCTTTCCTGTCCCTAACTAACTCGTTTTCTGTTTCAGGGCAACTTTCGTTGCAAAATAAAGCTTCTATTCGGACGTAAAGCTTTTCAGCTACGCTCAATGAGTTAACAGTACCCGGCATATTCATGCTCCGCACTCGAATTATATCGTTGTGGAAGAATATTGGAGTTTGCGCAGTTATGGTTTTGCGGATATACAATTAAATCCTTTGAAGTCAAGTCCGTTTACGACGATTTTACGTGTGTATAAAGCATAAAGGAAGAAATTTATTGCATCTTCGCACCTCGAATAAGGTAGCTATACCCTTAATGAACGAAATTTTGTCGATGATAGCATTAAAACGACAGGCACTCATCAACTCCTAGTTAGAGAAGTCATTCCAATATCAGCTTAGGCTTATTGTTATTACGACAAAGCAGGCCAACTGTTGCTAGAATAATATTTGAAACATTATCGTAGAACAATCCAGTTCTCACAAACGTTGTCCTATCTAGGCTCTCCTGCTTCTCAACAGAAGCAAATTTATGCTATGACGGTAGCCGAAATTAAGCTACGGTAACATGAACAAAATACCGAATTGCACGGGGATATTTGAATCGCGATAAAAATGGAAGAAGTTTCCAAGCCGTATCATAAACTAGACGATAATATTGTTGGCTATTGTTGATGTCCTATATTTTCAAACGTCCACGTCACGGAAAAGTAAGGACTTCCTTACGCAGATATACTAGAACTAAAGGCTGGCCTTGGAGGTTGTCAAACATCGCTTGATTAAAAATAGTTGATTCATTCTCACAGTTGCCCTAAGTTCAACATGGCAATACAACGGACCAATCAGCACTGGCAAATCTGCGATTCTGTACAATGAGGCAGCATGTTACTCGGTCGGTCGGATACATATCAATTAATAATTCCAGGAAGGCCTATATATGTATACTGGGACCCCAGTTATATAAGGGTCTTTTTATGGAGAGACCACATAAGCGAAGTGTGTTTGACTGCTAATCTATTAAAAGCAACCAAACCCCGACAACAACGTTAGGTGACATGGCGATAGAGGACGAGAATTTCGCCTAATGTCGATAACAGCGACTGAATTTCAAAACGCCATGGAAGTAAGTTGATATTGATAATGCATCGTTTCAAAGCTCTGATTTGGGACGTTTCGCCAGACCATTACTGTCTAATTTAGTCTGCAAAAACTGTTTTTTTTTTGCGTGGATCCCTTATATCAAATTTTTGCAATACAGTCGACTCTGCTATATAAAAAAAATGTATTTACTTAGCCGTACGATGGTGGTACCCATCATCGAGGTTGCCTTCGCCATGACCAGCGACGCTGCCATGGCCGCCTCCAATGTTCCCGTGGCCTCCGCCGGGAGTGGCATGTCCTAATGCAGGCAATGTCCCCTGTTGAACACCCGGCGGCTCCGGCGTTGGTAATCGGCTTTCATTATCCTTCACGTCGACGCTCCAATTGACACTCCACGCTCGTTTCACAGGATGATACGCTAAAATCGAATATGTCTCCTTAGATACGTTTTATCAATATGTGCCCCTTCGTTGATTAACCTTTCGCATTGCTAAGCAAGACTTTTTTAGCCGTGAACAAAAAGATCATGTGTTTCTCCTAAAAATAAAAAACAATTTTGTGAGATGTAAGAAACCTTGTTGGCACAATAGCGAAGTTTTTGCCAATTTAGGCATTGTTATATACTGGTAACACTGAAGAAGACTGGAAGCTGACCGAGCTTCCTGTTATCTACTGAGCGCTGCAACACAATTTGGAAGCTGATTTAGTTTAGAAGACGGTTAAATGGCACCATTCAAGAAAAACGAATTTCGTTGAGGAGCTGCCAAGGTTCGCAGAGAGCCTCAAGTTTTACTCGTTCGACTAATTGTATTAACGAGACTGCATAAAGAAATCGTGCTAATATGTACTAGTTGATCTCTTTCGATTTCGTTCAACTTACTTCAAAATGAGAATTTTAAAAACACATCAGGAATTCTGGGATGCCGCTCCTTGTATTGTCTGATATACATCTAACCAGGTACAAACGAGTAACATCCTGTGCCCAACATACTGGCTTTGATAAACAGGTGCTCTTGGCCATCCTATGACCACTGAGAGCTTAGCGAAAGGTATCAATACAGCGTATTTAGTTAAGTACGCAACGTTATTTTTGGCTTCTAAAATAGCCGTAGAAATAGCTATGCTCTTCAACGACATTGGAGATAAAAGCTTGACACGAGACTCAGTCAACTAGTCGCAGTGTGATCCTCTAAAAGATGGTCTAAGACCATCTTTTAAAGGGTCACAGTTTACCGCAATACATGTGCTCTTTGTATTCGTAAGGTACACAACAAAAACTGTATTGCTTTTTGTTGTATTTGGTGGGATTTGATGTGGCCACGTTTACACGTTACTTGATTTCAAACGGCAATAACGAGAAAAGCCCAAAAAGGTCGCAGACTAGGGAAAGGATCTTTGATTCGACGAAAGACATCGATTCTGTACGTTTATCGTATGTATTTTGCATCTGGACACTCGCGCAATACAGATCCATGTCACCAGTTAGCAGATTTACACAAATGAGCTCTCAAGCTAAATTATGATTTTTATTTTGTCTCGGTAGTATAGCTGAGTAAGTTAATGTTTCGGAGAATCTATCTGAAAAACACTTTTTTAGGATCATCCTTGCATTGAAGACTGTGCTGTTATCTGCCAAAAAATCTCTGCAGGCGCTAATTGTAGGCGTTTACAAACATGTATATGTTTGTAAACGTAAGACTCTGCAGCAGGGAAAAGTCAGTTTATTTGCTGTAAGTTAGGAATAGATCACTGACTGAGCACTTTTTTTCAGTCTCATTGAGGCGCGTGAATGAAACCTACGGAGATAGTTTTATTTGATACGATACCAATAGGTTATAGGACGCAATTGCGGTAGAAAAACAGTTGGAGTGTATAAAAAATATAATACGGATCAATCAGTTAGCAGTCAGAACCCTTATACACACCTTTTCGCCTGGTACGCCGTTATAAAGATTTCCTATTATGAAAGTACTTGGCAAAGCAAGAGGCCAAGAATATTACTGCCAGATGGTTTTACGCCATTTGAATAAACTGTTCATTTCCGTGAAAGATGTTTGTATTAACTCTTGAAACAACAATCATAATCATTATAATAGTAAGGGGTTACATTTAAATATATGAAACGTATCAACTATATTTAAATCTGCTTTTGTTATAGAAACGCGAGTTTTTTTAATTGTCTAATTTACAATATTATACTGGGCTTTGCCGAGATATACAAGCCTTGAATAATGAGGCGCACTCTGTAACTAGACATAATGGACACGGCAGCCGTGTCCATTAAATAAACTTAGATGTAGGCTCAGCCCTAGGCTTTAAATAACACACACTGTTTGTAGTGAACACCAATACGATAATAACAACTGGGGAGTAATCACCGACAATGCGAGGTCTCTCTGAAGATCTTACTTCCTTTCAAGCGCTCTCTCTAAAATCCTTATAAGATTACCGTACGGCCAAAACGGCAGGTCCAATCTTCCTTTTACAACAGGGAAAAACCGTCCGACTAGTACCTGTACAATTACGAACCCCATTTTACGTACTTACATACGAACATCCCTTACAATTAGTAAACCGCTTAATGGACTTCAGACGCCTAGTGGTTATATGTGCATGAATATATGCTTAGTTGAGTATTTTTCTTTATCAACTTCTCTTGAATTGAACAATATTTATCTTCTTACTTTAAGGCTATTGTTAGCATAAAATATACCAGTTAAAAAAAACAGCACGAAAACTGTTAATCGGCAGTGACGGTACTTTTCCCAGAGATTTAGTAAACCGCTGCAAATTATCTGCCGCCGTCTAGCTGAGCAAACCTGTATCTCCTAGGTGAAGTAAGCGTTTTAAATACATTCGTATTTTGAAGTTGCGATCTATGTGTCTTTTGAAGATACGAAGTGTGTCGTCATGCGCGTACTCTGCTTGGATAGCGGTATTTGTGACGTAGGCGACGAAGATTAATACATCAATAGATTTTCGCAACGTGGACAAATGCATCACAAAAGAGAGATGCATATTGGTGCTGGAAAGCACGCAGTAAAATCTGAACGTGCATGGCGCTCTCATATCATCTTATCGTAATAACTATACAGTGTTAAACAAAGATCTAAGTGCTTATCGAGCATCCGTTGTTAGCAAACAATGTTATTAGATAAGATATATCGCGCGCCATTCCGTGATTCCACCATTCCAACAAAAACCAGGGACGATACAGTCGGTTACAGCGTTTGTCCTAGATCTCTGTTTTATTGTTTCGTCCATTGTCTACATGCAAGTATGATCGTTGTCAAGTTCTATTGCTACTTCTGGCAATGCTCATTCGTAGACCGGTCAGCTAAATGAAGCGGCTGAAACACCTATACGTAACTGACACCGGACGCACCTGGATCTTTTGTGGAAAGTGCGCCTTAGCAAAGTCGGAACCTTTATAGCAGTCGGAGCCTGAGTTATTACGTGGTAAAATATAGAGTTAAGTTTAGGCTCTTAACAGGTAAAATTCTATGCTAGCACACTGTCTTTTACCAAACACTTAGCGATCAATCTTTTCACGTCTGTTACAGCAAGCTAAAATAGATTTTCTAATGAATGCCCTTCGTCTAACACATCCACGATAGACACTCATCTAACAAAGGTACACGCGAGGACAACCGACTGCACACGGTCTCGAGTTATTTTTTGTTTGCGTATGGTAAGCCTCTAGTTATCGTCCTTCCCTTTCGTCTCGGTTGTTATGATCAAGTGAGCGTAGCTCTTCTTTTCGCATTTGTGTCAGCTGAGTTAGTTAAAAGCTGAAGCTTGACCCACTGGCCTTGAACTCCGCAAGTCGTGTTGATTCTGCGTCCGACAACGCTTCTTGACAAGAGCTTAATGGCTATGCGAAAAAGATTAAATCAGGGTAAAACACTGGAGACCTTTGTAGCAGGAAGGGGCGAGACGAAAACACACGGTTCAGGTTTTGCTCACGATGGTATTTCAATAAGGTGCCCCAAAGTTCACCTCCCCTCTTCCCCTCGAGCGTTATTTAATAGCTGCTTACTTGAATGAGTGTGCATCCTCCAAAAGATCGGCAAAATCAATCTACTGGACGCTTGGCAACTCGATTCAGACATATGAAGATAGCCACTTAAAGGGCACAAAGTCGACACTTTATGCAGGTGATAACCTGTGCAGCTCTGATGTGATTGGGAGCACTGCTAGAATAGAACAATATGGAAGAAAGCTAAAATTATCACTATACATTTTTGTTAAGCTACAATTGTCCTAAGACGTAAGGCTCTGCAAGAGCCTAACGAGCAGTGAAAATGTTGAAAAAATTTATTACAGCGTTAACATCAAAGCCCGATAGATTTATAATTTTTAGTTCGCATTTCGTGTGAACTGGACAACAGTCTGATCAAATCGATTGTACGACTACTATCAGATACCGCGAACTGGAAGTGGCAAAGTTGTTTGCAACAGTAATGATAGCGAGGTGACCGTAATTTTTATATATACGCTCAGGGATACCGCTGGATCTGAGCGGTTTTATCCGGCCTATTTATTTCGGCAGTGTTGATTTTTATTACTTCTATTACTGACTATTCTAATATCGTTACATAATTTCTAACCACCATCCATCCAATGAGTTCACTAGGAGAGTGCTTGTTCCATTTGGTACAACCAGTTTAGTACAAACCGTTCAACTCAGAAAAACGATCCAATGTCCATGTGGCTGTTATTACATTATCAGAAGTGGACGGAAGGTAGGATACTGTCATATCTGTACGTGGCAAATGTCGTCGGTTCTAAACCCCGTTGGAGTTAAGACAATGGCATATTTTTGACTTTATCCAATGAAGGTCAAATCTTAAATGCTCGGTAAGCAAAATTGGACAGTAGCGGGTTTGACTTTTGCTGCTCTCTGACCATGCTAACTCTAAATACATAATTTAAGCTTTTATGCCTGGTACTGCCGATACGGCTGGCTTCTTTCAGAACGAAAGATTGTATGACTACACTCAGTTTCGAACTCAGACTGCTTCATTGAAGCTTAGTAGGCAAACGCGTTAGCACTGCCTCATCAGCCTTCATCAATCCAAAAGGTCATTCTCAAACGGTCGAAACGAGACCAATACAAAACAACGAAGTTTGTAGTGGCAACAGTGAGCATTGTACCACGCATGGCAAGACAGTGTACATACTTAATGGAAATAGGTTTTTCAGAAACGGAGTAGTAAAGGCATCGTCAAACCCAATGCCACATGAGCACAACAAAAATGTTTACCTCACCCTCGCAGAAAGTCAGAGCGACCCCTTGACAGCTAATGGTCCACCAAGCTCTATTGAACTTTATCATTTACGCAACTTCTGCGTTCTTCTCCTGTGTTGCTGATACGAATTACATGAAAATGACCTCGAAAGCAATTTTCACATGTCAGTACCAATAGACTCTAGTTAAAAAATGAACACATGCTTGGGGTCACTGCAGTGAGTCGTTGCATATGTCTCTCATTCAAGTCGTGAATACGCTACGCTTCAGTCGACGTTAAAATTAACGCATACAGAATGTGCGTCATTCATAGATACACTAGTATGAATAGGCTCATGTTGCTGTTACCTTTTTCGCCGATAACCTCGCTATGACGTGGCACGGCAAGATTGGTCCCAAAACTGTTAGTTTCCGGGTCCCGTCCGCCGTCGCTAGCAGCTAATTCCGCCGTTTTGACATCATCCGACAGATCCTGCCCGTCCGGATCCCCGTAGCAAACCTGCGAACGATACAAATAGTACTATTTTTTTGAAACGCGACTTTAAGGCCGTAGCTACACCGACCAGCAATATCGGGTGTTCGAAAGGAGAACTACGTGTATGTTTTGGTAGCAGAAAACTTATGTCTGGCGAAATAGATAGTGGCGTCGGACACTTTGAATCAGTGAAGTGTACGATTGTAATATAGTTGGACACACACAAATTGTTTTTCACTTACAAATTTAATAACAATTGTAAACATTACGTCATAGACCCGTTATTCGGTAAACTAGTAGCACCGAAAATTCTAACCGCTTGTAATTTGAAGCATAGAGATTTGTAACTTCGTAGAGATGAACTACATAAATCCACGTATATTGTGAATACGCTTTTTCATAGCTGCTTATAAAAGATAGTAAATCGTAACAGTTGACTTTTAATCTGGCAATCATTTTTAGCAGAGTAGTAATATCGGTATAATAAAACAGTCTATAGTAACCATGAGTGTTAACATACTGCCTCGTTCCTTTTTAAGGCCTGTCTGGAATACCCAATGAGGCCACGCAGCGTCTCGCCACACGACGAATTGCCGGCCGTGTTGAGGATGGGTTTGTTTAGTGGAGGAATCGTATAGCACCCACATGCTGCTGTTTGAGTCGACATTGTTTGAACGGGATGTATCAATGGGTTATACAAAAATACTTGGACTTAAACACAACGTCGTCGTGCTATAAAACCGATCTGGGAAACGCATTCGTGCTCGAAAGTAAGTAACTACACGAGGTATTAAGTTAGGTAGATTTTCTTTTGAACAAATAGTTGCGGCAGTCGATGGTGAAAACTTTTTGCAACTTTTGCTGAGGTTCCGTACTCAGCTTTGCTTGCAATCTTCAGAACTGAAAATTACCATCCCTTGCCTGTCAAATATCCTACGTTTTAGTTGAATAATTTAAGATAATTCGCTTCTACGAGCAACGTGGGAGTGCGACAGTAGCGAAATAGAATACGTATTTCCATACGGTTCTGTTTAGACAAGACCATACATCAGGGGTTGCAGCGCAAAAAAGTCGAAGGAGAACATGTTCTTGGTTTTTAAATAAGTACGTGTGCATTCGTTCCTCCCGCCCCAAAGTTTCAAGTTGAAGCTGTGAGTACTTCAAAAAATATATACAGTCATCTTACCGTTTAATTCGGCTGATGTAATCAAAATGCCCTTAAAATGATCAATCAAGCTGTGAAAAGTAGTTTCATCGTAAGTTTTGTTTAGCTGAAATTTTTATGAACTTCCCGGCATAGACGTACACATTTATGCATGTCAAAGTAATGAGCATTAAATGGAAATTGTGTGTTATTCGGTGTAACGCTAAACAAATATCTCGAGTCTTTGGACTGAGAACACTTTTTTTTTGTGAAAGCATGCAAAAATTTCGTCTAATGCTGGTAAGTCTAAAACAGCTAACATTTATTGCACCATATTCCTCTCGTACATCTGATTAAAGCAATCGCCTAAGTTCACCTAACAGTCGGAACTATCATCAGCAGGGTGGTGTTTAAAAGATAACGAATGACAATTACATAGGCGTTATCATATTAGGGTTTGATAAACATACACAACAAAAAAACTAACACAACACTTATTTCGTCTCAGAGAATCTCTTCATTAAATTACTTGATCCGTACTGCACTGTCCACGTCGCTTAGTAGTAGGTTTACAATGCGCTACGTGTAAAACACCGACAACTCTGGCACGTTATTCAATCGACATATTAAGATCGCTTATAGAAATTTTCCAACAAAAATTTTGCGACCCGACTCGGCGATGAGACCCACATACGATGGTTGTCATTTTTAGGTAATGAGTGCACCTTGTTGGGCTAATAAAACGCTGTCCTATTCTCACTTGTACACTTGTCGCGCACTAACAGCAGAAGTGTATAATACCGTACTGATTTTTCTTGAGCTAGTAGATTTAAAAATATATATATATATATATATATATGTATAAATGATACAGTCCGGTGGATAACTCTAATAGAAAACAACTCCGTTGGTGACGATGGTCTGTGTTAACTAACATGCCTCTGGCATCGCGCCGTCATCGCAGAATGAGGGGTAACTGTACTTATTCTCTTGCTGTTTCACTCCACTCGGTCCTTCATATGACCCAATGCATGCCTTATTTCGAAATATATGTGGTCTATAGCTCGCAGAGCTCATAGTTATGAACTGAGTCACATAAGCAACGTAATATGTAGATTTGCAACACCACTAAACTGTCTGAAAAACTCGTCTTTAATAGAATTCGAACCTGTGACTCATGACAGCTGCCAATATTACTGGATCCGGGCTCTTGTTGACTTGTCTGCGAGGTACGGCTCAGGGATCGGAACTCGACAGCGATCTCATCGAACTTGGAGTCGGGACTATTAACCGCATTATCTTTGGCCGGGAACTCGATTTGAATTGGGCCTGGATAAGCGAAACTTTGCGGACTCAGCAACATCTCTGCTCAACGTACTCTACGACTACACGGCGTTATCCATTTATGTAACTGCGGTGTCCACGCGCGTCTGAACGCAGGCTTGTCGCTGGTTCCTTCTCACACGGGCCAGAGGAAGCGTTATCGGGTTCGTGAGTTTGCATCAGTGCGCGTCATTTTGGAGCAGCACTATCTAAGCAACTACAACGACTACAACCACGTTGCCTACGCCGAGAAAGCTACAGCGGTCAACAGTAGCCATTTAGGTAGTTGTTAGCCATTTTAAATAGTAGGCGTTAGTCACTTGCGTGCTGCATGTGAACTAAAGCACGAATCGCACACGACAAAGCCAACCAGCCCACATCAGCATTGTAGCTATTCCGGAAAAACGAGCCATTCTGGACTGATGTGAGTCTACGGTTCATCTGGATGGTCTTACTATCACTGTCCGAGAAAACTGTTGCAAGCAGTAGCAACAATATATATATATATATGGGTGTATGTATGTGTCACGATGTCAGAAGGTCAATGAGACGCTTCGTATCGATAAAGGCCAAGATCGGTCAATAAACGGTCGTAGGAGGCGGGCACGCATCTGACTACGTGGTAAGTGTGTGTGGTATAGTTACATGTACACAATTGCTTTTTTAAGCACAGGCATGCTTTCATGCCTTATCGGGTTGTATCGAACGCACATGAAAGAGAACACAGTCGTTGAGATCGATGTCCACTGGTTCTTCTCGTTTGAGACCACCTCGAAGTCTCGGCAGTTTTCGTGGCGGGTTGACGTTGAACTGCGGCATCTCGTCGCTCGCATTAAGCCCTCGATTCAGGTCGTCATCGATGGCGTCGGCGTCGTTGTATTTTAAACTCGGTGCCTTCATCCACACACGGCCGATAATGAGCCGCCTGCAGCCGAATATCACACTTGATAACCACAAACGAAGCAAGATCGCACTCACAGACAAGGTCTCTTAGCACAGATCTGCTACGAGCTGGCTATTACTGCGTTTCCGTACAATCCTGCCACATTGACTTTGGAGCACATTGGAGTGTTGCATTATATACAACAGCCGACATACATGTGTAGCGCTGCTTTATCAAATGGTTCAGCAAGGGGCAACAGATAATCGCTGGTAACAGTAATCTTTTTTCATGCGAGTTCTTTAAGCAGTCTTGCTATAAGGGGCCCTTCTAGTCTTACTAAGGATTGTTTTGTACTTATTCGATTCGATCGCCTGTCGAAGCAAAAGATGGTACGACAACATGGTAAATCTCGGTCACTTCGCTGAAACTTCACATGCTCGTCACGTCCCTCAATTTCAGATTGGATGTCTTCTTCCATAGGCCTTTTTTACGTCTGTTGATGGGCTCTCTACGGCGACTATCTAGCCCCTCGCGGCAGACCCTCTCTTCAGGCTTCTTCTTGTTGTAGGCGACAAAGAGACATTGGAAAGATTCTGCGCGTCCAATGGATAACATTGCAGCGGCTTCAACCGAAGCATTTGCCTTCATCGGCGTCATCGTCGAGCTCGTCGTTTTGTTTCGTTACAATCAGTCTGCTAAAGTTGAAGTCACTGTTAGAGAATTGTGAACGATCTAGCGAACAAAATGAACGATAGCAATATATACAACTATGTCTCTGCTCCGTTTCTGTAGTAACATCTATATCATCTGTTTATTCATGCTGCATCGTTATTTTCAGCGCCGTCTCGCATGATAGGTAGTATATAGGCGATTGGCATATTTACATACGTAACAATCCGTAATTTGCCCAATGATTTTACGATCTCTAATATTATTATCGATGTAAACATGACAATTTTTTTCTACAAGGGGCAAATACAACTTGAACCAATTTGTCTATTTCTATTTAAGTCAATACACATGTATTATAATAAAATCATATATCTTGATCAGACTCCAGATCTGGCCCGGCAACACCAAATCACGAAGTTGAACCGAGCTCTAAACAACCTGATAACGACCACGTTCTGTGTTTAAGTGCAAGTTGTTCCTCAACAGATTATGGTCGTCTATGAGAGTGAATGAAAGTTGAGTAAGAGTAGTTAACTCCAATGTTCGAAATTCCATTATCTATATATATATATATATATATATATAAGCAGTCATACACGCGTTAGCAAGGATCCAGTTCACTTTTAAGCAAAAACATGCGTCAATGACTCGAATTTTGTGTCGATCTTTTTGAGCTTACCCATAAGGTCGGAACTGGCTCTGGGTCCTGGCAAATTTTGATCTTTGACGCACGACCTAGGTCCTCATAGGTGAGCGATAACGCCCACGGAACAATCTCGCTCATGACACATTAGTGAGCATCAAAGGTAATAGTATCATATATAACATCTTATAGTCGGTTAGCCGTCAGTAGTGGCCGTCACAGATAGCTTCTTGACACGCCTCCGCTATTTACATAGAGAGCTCTGCAAACACAGCTTCTGAGAACTACAGCATGCCAATTTCTGGCAGCACCGTTAGTAATGTTCGTAGTCTTCTGCGTGTCTCTCACAAACAAAAAAAGATTCATGCAGAATTAGTGAGCAATTCTGCAAATAGGATACTAGATAAAGGGCAGTTCGCAGCGTTCGCCATACGGAGTGGATTGGTTCTCAGCTGTTGGTAGGCAAGCACCAAGAGAAAGACGGCTTACCCTTATATCATGTTGTCATGCTTAAACGGGTCGCAGGTACTTTGATAATTGTTTATACTTAGGGACATGAAGAGGTGATGGCGCGGTGTGGGCGGAGATGACCAACGATGATGGCCAACAGTGAGCAGCGTTAACAGAAATCGATTGCGCTTGCTACAACCTCTAATTTTGGCTCGACTTCATCTCCATGCAGCCTCTTTCCCTCCCATATTACCGCATAGAACTAGTTGACTTCAGTTTTGTATTGGCGATGAATAACAGCTCTATTCAGTGCCGTTGCTCTGTTTCATTACTTCGGGTGTTGTGGAGCTCTTCTGGAGGGTCGGTCTACCGACGATGGCCGTCAGCTCAGCTTGGCATAATCAACATCAGTGCGACGTCGTTATTAATTAAGACAGACTATAACCACCAGTGAGGCCTACAAAGCGGATCTAACAAACATCCATATGGTCACAAACAACGAGAAAGCAGCGCTGGTCCTGATTTCACGGCCACAATGGAGGGCTGGTTTTCATATGCTAATAGAAGTGATGGAAAAAGACAAAAGATCAAAATCGTGTACACTTCATAGGCATGTGTTCAAGCCAAACTGAAGAAACAACAGCCCTGTCTTAGCTGTCGAAATAACGTGTGACGACTATAAGAAATATCCTATAATAATTACGTGTGCCCTAGAAACCTTGCCTGCATACTTAATTGTATCAAGCGTTACACTGCAGTAGTCTAGATAGAATACTAAAAGATCCAGCATGTTGACATGTTTCAGTGATGATCGTCTGGGGACACACTTGTCCGATACAAGCTCGTCAATGGCCGTTTATAGAACGTCGTCTAATATTCGAGTCTTAAATGATCGTTTTCTCTGTCTGTGCGTCGTGTTCATATCATGTCTGTCGATCCCTCAAAATGCCCCTATATATGAAGGATGCGTATGGTCTATTGTCGCAATCAACGGAAAGCTACAACATCTAACGACAGATGGTCAACTGCATTCAATACAAACTGAATGTCAGCATTTAGATCTTCGTCAGTGAATACCTTAAATTATCGTATATTTTGAATTAGCGGGATGAAGGACACACACAGTCACAGCAGTCTGTGGCTTGTCACTGTCGGCACGAGGAAGCAATAAATCACCCTGAATGATTCGTACATGAATTTCAACCTGAATTTATGATACTCTATCATGTATCGTAGTGGAACATTTGTCTATTCTCAGATAATATATTCGAAAAAAAAATTTAAAAAACTGTTCTGATACAATTTCTAATACCTGTGTATTTTATCAAATGAGCCTACTGCTTTAATTTAGAAAAAAAAAAAAAAAAAAAACACAATTCTAGTGCTTGCTGAACGCCACTTATAAAACAGTATCCATGAGACAATCATCTCTTCTGATTCAGCGCCGAGCCTAGAACAGTAATAAAAAACAACTGGGATTAATAGTAAATTCTGTTTTCGTTAACCCCATGAACGACTGTGGATGGAATCTTAACTACTAAGAACGACCGTTTGCCTCAAGCAACTCTACAGAAAAATGTCCATCATTTTGTGCAGTATCTACGTTGGGATTAGGCAATAGCCTTACAATCAGTTAAATTCTGTTAATATTTATCTCGAATAGGTCGAACATATATAGATGCGTATGAACCCGACCCGTTTCCGGGCAAGCACAATTCATCTCTCAGCGATTAAAATTGTCAATGAATCACGTGTCCCTATGCGGGCTCAGTCAATTCGTATCATTGGGTAAGTGAACTTACAAGTTGTGAGACTAACTCTTTTGTGCAGCTTGTCATCAAGTCGCCTAAGTATATGCATACAGCCTATGATAATGAGATTCCCGACAAGAAAACCTGTCATCAAGCTCCGCGCGACTCCCGACGTTGTGGACCTCGGCCGATGTGTCTCTGATGCTGAGTAGTTCCGATCTGCTGTTTTTCAATGCAAATCCTTGAGTGTCGTCATTCACAGTTAACTGTGAACTTCATTCTATACTATTTGTTTTATTGACAATCTACGTATACGGGGAAGTGAGGCTGAAACTGTGTTGAACGCTTCATCGAACATAACCGGGACAAAAAAATGTATGCCAGTATACCTGTCCAAAATTCTTTTATTATGCAGCTTCAGTGGGCTAATTAGAATTTTCTCATTTTTGAGAAGATAGCAATTGAAGACAGCAGTGGCATGGGTTCAGATAGCTTCGCAGGGTGGAGTTGTATGGACTAGGAATTGGTCTGTATAAGCTACTAACGGTTTTGTGTGAAGAAATTAGTCCGTCAATAAGACTAAGGGCAAAATACTTCTCTTCTTAGAAAAGGCCTATGATGATAGCTGGAACAAAATGATGCTTTACAGTTATTTATTGCTAGATCAGGCAGATCCAAAGTTGTAATTCAGCTCCCCGTTAAGTGTAAAGCTGGGTTTTGAATGGTGCAAGTTATTTACGCACCTAGGAATTCCGCGCTGTTCAAGGAGTGGCTAGTAGTAGTAACAATGTGTGTTCTGACTCTCAAAGCCACATCGATTGCGTTGAAACCTACATAACTATTATGGTTATGCATGAATTCGGTATAAATAATTACTTACGGTGGGTATTGAGGCACGATTGTAAACATTGTACCATATGGTCCATATATCAACATTGTCACCTCAGCCGAATGATCACCCTGCCGCGAAACGTTGTTGATAACAACAATATGCTACGCAACGAACGAGTATGATAATATAATGCTTTAATGTTAAGGTATACATAAATTCTTACTCAGAGTATAAGTCTGAGGTGATTTCTCTATGAAATTAGCATCGATAGCATTCAACAGAACTTTGCTTATATGTAAGTATTTAACCTTTTTATGTAGTCCCACGCTATACACCGCATATATATCGTAACGGTAGTTACGGTACAAAATGTAAAAAAAAAACGTTTGGACGAGGGTAGAGGATAAAAACCGTTGTCACTCGTCGATCCCCGGCGATCCAATGGCTTAATCCTCCATATATGTACATGCATATATATATAATTTTATTAGCCTTAGTTCAGGCTGCTGTCGCTTGTATTGATGTATTTACGCATGATACATTGGTGTGGTATGAAAACCGTCCTTCATTG